ATTTTGGGTTACAAGGTAGCCAACATTTTTTTAATGCAGATGACCAGTATCCTTGTATAACCAAAAAAAAAAATTACAATGCACTGACTCAAAACATAAGTGTGATATAAAAACAAGCACTGCAAAAGAAAGATGGAGGGAATACTTCAAGGAGCTCTTTAATCCTCTAGAAGATCATCAGGAAAGAACTGAAAGAGCACAGAGCAACAGTGTTAGAACCACACACACTAATGGATTAAATAGAAAAAATCAAACGGGCTCCCAAATATAAAGCACCAGGAGCTGATAGATAACCAACAGAAATAATTCAAGCAGCATTAGATGGCTTCACAGAATATTCAATGCAGCATGGGTACAACAAACGGCGCCTATTGATTGGCAACATACAATAGTTATTTTTATTGTGGAAGAACAAAGGAAGCAAACGAGAATGCTGTCAATATCGAGGCATCTCTCTTTTAAGCCATGTTGGCAAAATGTATGCAAAGATAATAGAAACAAGACAGACCAGTGATAGAACCACAGCTGGCAGAAGAACAGATGGGATTTAGGAGAAATAGAAGCTGCACAGATGCAATCTTTACACTTAAACAGTTAATAGAAAAGAACATTGAATACAATAAGAACTTATTTGTGGCATTCGTAGACCAGGAGAAGGCATTTGACATTCGACAGACAATTATTATGGAAAATAATGGCAAGATATGGAGTAAGCGAACACCTAATCGAAGTGTGCAAAAGTTTATACAGGGATTGTGTAGTTAAAATAAATCTCATCCTTTCACAGTGACATCTGGAGTAAGACGGGTGTGTCTTACCACTGCTGTTTCTCACCTACATCGACAGTATATGCAAGAACGCAAGCCCATGAATGAAGATCTTAGTAAGATCAACGAATTACTCTGCAGATGACCAGGCCTTGAGCAGATACAGCCATGAAATTGCAACAACATCTAACATCCATGAATGAAGAATATAAAACAAATATGAGAATCAACACTGAAGAGACAGAAGTAATGTCAATAGGAAAAAAGAAGACAAATCTAAACATAGCAATAGAATACAAAGGCATTAAACAGGCATCTGAGTTTAAATATCTGGGAACTACATTTACCGAAGATGGGAGATTGGATAAAGAAATTGACATTAGATGCAGTAAAGCAAACCAAGCATTGGGACAGCTAGCCCCCCTCTTACAGCATAAGACAATCCCAATCAGCACAAAGAGACATCTTATTCAAAGCATATTTATTCCAACACTGTGCTACCAGTGCCAGACATGGTCACTCACAACAATCCATAAAAGAAAATTAGTAACCACGAAAATGAGATGTCTGAGAAGGGCTGTAGGAGTGACCATAAGAGATAAGATCAGGAATGAGATCATAAGATAAGACATAAGAGAACAAGTCGGCACAGAACTAATTCTGGATTACATAAAAAAACAGCAAGTGAAATAGTTTGCCCACTTAGAGAGAATGCCTTGTGACACCATACCTTACAAAGCATACATGGAAAGAAAAGGACATAGAGCACAGGGTAGACCAAGAACAAGATGGAAGGATAACATCAGAGAAACTCTACAACAGCATGATGTGCCTATGGTCGAGGCAGTCAGAAGATCTAGAAACAGAACCTTATATCTCCCTCGACACCCACAGCAGTAAAATAGGAAGTGAAGAAGAAGAAGACTGCACACACAAAAAAGGGTTAACATTTTAGTTAATGGTACTACAATCAAACGAGAATTAATCTAGGAAGAATACAGAACATGGGAGAATAATATAAGCCAGAGTATCTCATCGTGTTTAGTGGCTGTAACGAAAAACCAAGCATAACTAGACTTGTTCCAGAACCTGAGTTGCGGGCACATCCATTTTAATTCACATATAAACTAATTCCTTCTGAGGCAGATGATCTGGCGACTTCGAAGAAAACACCAAATTACTTCACTTTTACTAACATGCTCGTTTGGGAGGCAGTGGGTCTATATAGCTTCACCTATAACTGGGTCTTAAAAAACCGGAGAGCCAGAGTATGTAGGGCTAATAGGGCACTGTAACAAAAAATTACTTGTGAAACGTGCTGTCTCTTTGAGGTCACTAACACAGGGACAAAGTTTAAGTTCATTTTGAAATTTAGAATAAGGCCGCCGTATACTGACAGTAATTACAACGTACCGAGATCAAAACCCACTGCTGGCTGCGTGGATTTGTATCACGATATAGGGTGTCGCAGGTCTGCACAGCATAAAATGGGTACCAGACGGCCAGCGTAATGCTGACCACATTATCCACCTAGTGCCGACAGACCATATGGCATTTTGTTTTAAACAGGAGAATGTCTAGAAGTTTCTAGGAGAAAAACCAAAAAAAAAATAAATGGCATAGCCGAAACCTGCAAATCCAACACCCAAGACTACACTACAGAAAACCACGACACTATGCTACAGCCTGGTATCAGTAAGAAAAAGAAATGCTTAATTCATTAAAATCTTATGCGCATTTAATATGGTCTTAGTATATGCCCTTATGTTCACTAAAACTAAACTAATTTACAAATCTTCCAACAACCCTAATATCGCATGAACACAATTTGGCCATATTTGTGTCGAGTGGTTAGCATTTAAATATAACCAATAAGGTGAACAATGCTGAATTTTCTACAACCATATTAACAATATTAATGTATATCCTGTATTTTAAATAACACAAGATGTGATGATTTATAAACTTAAACTGCAATTAGTTTGGATTGAAATCCTTACCATTTTCACCTCCACTCTGTTACAAGGATTGTGAGAAAAAGAACTGTATACAACTTGCTTCCGGGAGATCCGGGGGAAAAATAAGACCGGATATTGAAAATAAAAACAAGTTGTGTGCAATATATATATATATATATATATAAATATATATTTTAGAATTTAGTTAGTCTCTAAACAACTAAATCAGTGTTATTACATATTAATATATATATATATATATATATATATATATATATATATATATATATATATATATATATATATTTACAAAACGTATTTAGATGAATTAAATTAACTGCAGACTTGTTAGCTAGGTTACCGGCTCATCACAATGTATTTATACTCTCTATTAAAACAAACCAAAAGAATATATTTGAAGCAATTAGAACAAAACAACATATGTAGAAATTGTTTTATTGTAAAATGACATGTAATTTGCTAACTAATATTCTAATAAATTTGCTAAACATGCTTGCACTATATTGCAACGCGAAGTTGTTAGCGTCGTTTTGTGTGCATCGGTTTGTTTGTCTTCTCAGCATTCATTATCCAAATATCTTATTGAGACTCACGATTCGCATATCTTAATGCAGAAAGCTAAGAAAGCTGTTTCTGTTGTGTGTTACATTCACGCGTCCAACGGTATTTTCTTTTATAATAAATAGTCTAATTTAAAATGCCTGTTGGAATGCTGGACAATTCTTCTGTTTCACTGCAGAGCTAAATGATTTTAAATCATTTGATTAGACTTTAGTAGTCATCATCATTCAGCAATCCAAATGGTTTGCCCACTTGAGAGAATGCCTTCTAATGCTATACCACACAAGGCATATACCAAAATAGGAGGAGGTAGAGCAAGAGGTAGACCAAGAACAAAATGGAAAGATAACAGAGAAACTCAACAGCACTACGATGTGTCTATGGTCAAAGCAGCCATAAGAGCATGAAGCAGAACCTTATATTTCCCTTGACACCTGAAGCATGGAGAGAGGACATAAAGAAGAAGAAAAAGAAGTCGTCATCATCATCATCAACTGCCCTGCCAGTTGGCATAGGCGTTCATGCATCTCCACAGATCTCTGTCTTTGATGTTCTGGATCAATCCCACTGAAGATATTCCTGCATGTCACTGTCTTAAGCAATCCACCATCATTTTTCCTCATCTGCCTCTTCTACCAGTGATCTTTCCAGTTATCACAATATTTTGTTTCCATCACATGACCAAAGAATTTTGTCTCCTTCTCATTGTTGTATATAATGTTCTACTGCCATTAGCCACTTCAAGGCAATCATTGTTAGTTATTCTAGCAGTCAAAGGTATTCGCAACATTCTTCTCAAGAACCACATCTCAGTTGCCTCCAGACTCTTCTTAATTTGTTTGCTCCTGTTCAAAGATTCACTGCCATTTAATGAAACAGGCCTAATGTAACATTTCAGGACTCGTTTTCTGATGTTTAATGAGAGTGATTTATTACATACATCTTCTCAAATGCATCCTTTGCCTGTGTGCTCTTAATTTTTATCAAACATTGACCATCTGATGTAATGAATGTCTTTAGTACTAGAATTTATTGACTTGGTTAAGCACTTTCCCTAGAGAGTGCAAAAAAAGGGACTTTTTGAATTTGAGGAAAACAGAAACAATGGTTATATCAAAGAAGAAGATGACTCTAAAATGTTGTATAGCAATGCAACATTTTAGAGCCATCTTCTTCTTTGTCCACTTCTGGACTTTAGTCTTGCTCGAGAATCTGAGTTTTGCCTGCACATCCGTTATGCCATCTGGCTTATTTGAATGAAGACTGTTGGTTCTTCACCTCTCAGGCAGATGCACACTGACTTTAAAGAACACAACCCTAGTCAACTCTTACACATGCTTGTTACGGGGCAGAGCATCTACTCTTCCCCCCCCCCCCCTTCTACAATTGGACCCCGGAACCCACACAGGAAATTATGCTTTACTTAATTACTTCTATTTAATGAAGTTGTTACAGTATCCCACACTCTGTTCTTTACGGTTACAAGTGCATAACTTTAGACACAGTGTTTATTAGTCTCGAGTAACATTTCTTTGAATAGACAGAGTTGAAGTAAGAATTGTCGGGAACAACTGTCATTGTTTTTTTAAAGACATATATATGTGTTTACTCCTTGTTTCAGAAATCTTCATGAAAGACATTAAAATAAAGCTTGAGTGGACAAAGTGAGACATTTGAAACATTGTTTCCTGGCATGATGACAGGGGAGGACTACTATGAGGTTAATTGATAGCTAACATGTTTTCAATCAAATTATTTCAGTAACATTTTTTTAATGCGTTTCTACTTTCTATTTTGTTTTCTGAGAAGCAATCAGAGAATCACCAGACAGGCATTTGAAGGAGAAATAAATATACTGAGGAAATGAGGACATTCAAAAGAAATTCTAAATTAACATGCTTGAGAGAGCTGAAAGGTGCTGGATGTCTTAAAATAGGCACTAAAGGGGAAATAATTGGATTGAGGAAGTGAGGATGTCCAAGAGGAGCCCTACCATGAACAAAACAGATCAGGGGTACTGGACTGGATTCAGCACATAATTTTCTAATGAAGAGGATAGAAAAAAAGGAAGAAATTGACTACCGGCCCTCTCTGACACATTAGTTGCACAGCTCCCCGTGTGGATGCCGGAACCTCATTGCAAGGAAAACAAGAACAGATCCACTGCCTTAAAAAAAAAATAAAAAATAAAGCATTTCATAAGAGTCAACTAATTGGGAGCTTCCTTTTGGCATTTGCCAGAGTGCAAGACACAAACCAAGTACACACAGATAAGGCAGTAAAACCAATGTACTCAAAAAACTCAGGCCCTGGCACAAAGCCAAAGTCCAAATGGAAAATCATCAAGACTTTCCACTAGAGCTTACAGCCGGTGAACAAAGAACAAGAAGAAAATGTTGCACATCAGGATGATGAAAATGAATAGCTAGAGAAGATTATTGATATATTTGTTTATTGTAGCAAGGAAAGTGGTATCATAAAGCACATTCAGTTGATGACTACAGTTGTGAGAAACACAACACTAGGAAGTTTGTAGAAAGTTTTGCCTTGCACTCAAGGTCTTTTTTTAAATGTGATGTTTTGTGGCGCAGTGATTTCAGTCACAGGTCTGAGGGAAAGCTTAGGCGATTTTGATGTGTATGAGAAGTTATTTCGTGACTCAACTCAAGCACAAGCTTATTCTTGCTGGTTTTACGCATCTTCATGCAACATTCCTGCTACATGTCCCAGTCGTGTACTACGTATAATTGCTCAGATGAGCATAAATTGAGCTGGAAGGGGATCTTGGAGATGCTAACCCTCACAGATGCAGTGCCTAAAAATCTGGCTCTTGTTAGCCCATCCGCATGCATGGGTGAAATGTCTATCAAAGCTCAAAGCTGAATACAGTACTAAATGGCAACCCTCTGTTAAAAGGGGTGGCATTACCGCAGTCGATAGGAGACTCGCTTTCAAATCCAGCTGCAACTTGCTGCAGCCCACGGCCGGTGTTCGAAACAGGGTGGTTCCCAGGGTTCACCCAGCCTCTAGATAATGAGTACCAGAGTTAACACTTCGCTGTAGCTACAGAGTTGTGTGTGCGGATGGCGACACATGCGGAATATTTCTTATCAGCTGTCCATACTGGTGGCAGAACACTTATGGTTTATAACTGTGTGCAGTGACGCTGGTTGACATCTCCTGACTTTACCCTTACCCTTATCCCTGTTAAAATTATTGTCAAGTGAGAAAACTGCTGAGACTCAGTCCTAGACCAAGAGATTTGCTCACAGCTAGGCAAGCTTATCTTCTGGGGGCGGTATCTCACGGTACAGTCCTATTTTTGTACATCCTTCGTCCACCCTCAACAACATTGCTACCATATTAAGGTACACTATCGCAATCTTTTACTGTCAGTTAGCTTTGATCAAGCTCAAATATCCATCAGAAACCTAATGTATGGCATAACAGCAAAGTCTTAAATGTCAGACCATCAAAACACCTCCTTTTTTGCAAAAAGGTACAGATGTTTGTTACCATCAACCCCACTCACCAGAGTGTCGGGATAGTCTGGTAGTCTTAGTTTCAGCTTCATAGCAAAGAGTCACCCCATCTTTGCTCCGCTCCTGTGCCAACAAAAAACACTCAGAATGTTTATCACAGTCCTTTGTGAAAGTTTGACAGACTGCTGTCTCAGCATATTTAACATACACTTGCATGAAAGCATACGATAGGGCACCACCAACATTGCGACAACAGGCATCGCACCATTTTCTGAATCTACAATTCACACCACCACGTTGGTCACAGTAGAAAAAACATGTCAGAATCAAATATGGAAAGCTGTGTCAGATGCATGCTTTTCTCTTATCCATGCTGACGTGGTTTAAGCCTCATGTGAGCACGTGCGAAGCGATCTGGCAGATACTCGTCGCTCAGAGTAATGACAAGATAATTATGTAGTTAGACATTGGTACTGGAACTCTGCACTTGCCATCATGTGTTTGGACTGGAAATTGGTATGAATTCAGTGAAAAAAAAGTACAACAACAAAATCATTATCCTTGGGCAGAACAATAACATGCATCTGCTATACCACAAGTACATCCTTATACCTATTTTCATGCAGCTAGGATGACAAAACTGCACCTTCGAACCCAAAATATTCCATTTTAGCAAACCCTTAATTAAACACCTTTTATGACATGCTTGTTACAAAAAGCTAGGTATGTTTTGTGTGTATGTGTAACCACAAATGGGATTCCAGAACACATACAGGAAAATGCAGACACTGGCCAGTAATTACTAATTTTAAAAAATAAAGACTGTAATACATTAGAAGAGAATGAAATAACGTAAAAATCCTTTTGTGTGATAATATTTTTTTAACCTCTGTTTTAGAATCCGTATGAAAGTTTTATGAGAAAACACCTTCAGCACTATGGCTATTACACTGGTAAGTTTGCATTTTTTTTTAAAGACTTTAAAAAAAATTAAAAAGTTAATAGAGTTTTTGTCCATTTTACTGATCTGATATATTTGTAAGCAGACTGTTAGTTCTTTTGCTTCTCATGCGGATGTACTCAACATTAATGGAAACACTCCTAGTTAGTTATCTTTTACAACATGCTTGGTATGGGGGCAGTTTGTCATTTCTTTTTTCTACAAAATGGAGCCCCTGGAACTCACACAGGAAATTGGGGGTCTACACCTTTAACCAACAAACAGGCAACTAAATGCTAGCCACTGTGCTACTGCAGCTTTATATTCTTGTATTAAAACACTGGCCTGAAGATCTTCAGCTTAAATTTGCATTAAGGCAAATTGATCACAGCCTACAATGGGTTTCAGGAAATCTTTTGGAGAAATAAAGGCATCCAGTGTGATGCTGATCACATCACACATCAAGTTCTTTTTTTGTGTGTGCGCCTCCAAACATATTGGATTAACAAAAAGGTTCCTTTTTTGTTTTTGTTTTAAAATTAACTAATGCAGATTGTAATTGTTAACTATGGCCAATCTGCAGGCAAAAATCAGAATTACAAGAGCCAGTTCCATCAGTATGCAGAGTGGGAAAAGAACTACGCCTACAGTCTCAGCACTGACAGCAGTTCAGATTCTGACTCCAATGATGATGAACAGAATGCTGGTAAGAAAAACATTTTGATGAAAAAAAGCTGGTATGAGTTGAGTTGAGTCAAGAATTTACATCACATCACTCGGGGCATTCCCATGCAAGCTCTGTCCTCATCTTCAGCAACCAGCGCAGAGTTCCAATACTGATGGTGCCGGTCATAAACTGGTTAAATGTCCGTCTTACCTTTCCTCTGAGTGTAGTCAGCCGGCCAGACCCTCTGGTTACACCCTGGTGTCTCATTCTCTCAAGGCCATAATAATGTTCTTTCTCTACTGATTCCGTTGCTTGTTCCCAAAGGGCCTGACTACATCTGCCTTTTCATGTATAAATTCACCACCATGTGGTGCAGATCCAGCCAATCTGTCTGCCTGTTCATTACCCACCACGCCGTCATAGCCTGGAGAAAAGATCCAAAGTATGCTCAAAACCCATGACCTTTCCAGTGAAGCCACTCTGCTCGAAGCATTCCTGTCTTCTTCTTTTTCATCATGCCTTCAGAGTCTGTTATAATTACGACATGTGTATGCATCTTGTTCTCTAGCCACTGAAGAGCTGTAGTTACCGCTTTCACCTCCATTCTCATGCTAGATGTTGTGGTGTCATATGCTAGGCTGTCTTGCACTAAAGATTTTTCCATTGGCTTTTGCTAAAAACACCCAGGCACTTCTCTTTCCTCTCAGCACCGAACCACATGTATAGAAAGTCAGATCATCTGTGCGTGAATTGTCGTGAATCAACTGTTGGACTTCAACCTCTGTAGCACCCGCTGGCCACTCTCTGCACACCCGGCCCAATGTGAGGAGACATTTTAGTGAAAAATGCCTTTATATGCTTAGAGAGGTTTTGATAAAAGGAATGTTTGTCTTCTTCTTCTTTGTGTTCACTGGCTGTAAACTCCGTCGGAAAATTCTGGTTGTTTGTCCACTTCTAGACTGCAGTCCTGTTCCAGAACCTGAGTGTTGCATGTGCAACCATTTGACAGATCTGACTAATTTGTATGCAAACTGTTGGTTCCTTGCCTCTCAGGCAGATGCACTCCAACTTTGAAGGAAGCTCCCAGTAAGTCAACTCTTACGACATGCTTTTGAGTAGGCAGTGGGTCTATTCTTGTTTTCCCTATAATAGGGCCCCGGAACCTACACGGGGAGGAATGTTTGTATATTTTTAGAGAGGCTGTGATAAAAAGTGCAGGTGTATGTTTAGAGATACTGATGAAAAGTAGAGGTATAGGTTTAGAGAGACTTCGATAAAGAGTGCAGGTAAATGTTTAGAGAGACTTCGATAAAGAGTGCAGGTATATGTTTAGAGAGACTTCGATAAAGAGTGCAGGTAAATGTTTAGAGAGACTTTGATAAAGAGTGCAGGTATATGTTTAGAGAAACTTTGATGAAGAGTGCAGGTATATGTTTAGAGAAACTTTGATGAAGAGTGCAGGTATATGTTTAGAGAAACTTTGATGAAGAGTGCAGGTATATGTTTAGAGAGACTTTGATAAAGAGTGCAGGTATATGTTTAGAGAGACTTTGATAAAGAGTGCAGATATATAATTAGAGAAACTTCGATAAAGAGTGCAGGTATATGTTTAGAGAGACTTTGGTGAAGAGTTCAGGTATATGTTTAGAGAGACTTTGATAAAGAGTGCAGGTATATGTTTAGAGAGACTTTGATAAAGAGTGCAGGTATATGTTTAGAGAGACTTTGATAAAGAGTGCAGGTATATGTTTAGAGAGACTTTGATAAAGAGTGCAGGTATATGTTTAGAGAGACTTTGATAAAGAGTGCAGGTATATGTTTAGAGAGACTTTGATAAAGAGTGCAGGTATATGTTTAGAGAGACTTTGGTGAAGAGTTCAGGTATATGTTTAGAGAGTCTTTGATGAAGAGTGCAGGTATATGTTTAGAGAGATGTTGATGAAAAGTAGAGGTATATGTTTAGAGAGACTCTGATAAGGAGTGCAGGTATATGTTTAGAGAGATGTTGATGAAAAGTAGAGGTAAATGTTTAGAGAGACTTTGATAAAGAGTGCATGTATATTTTTAGAGAGACTTTGATGAAGAGTGCAGGTATATGTTTAGAGAGACTTTGATGAAGAGTGCAGGTATATGTTTAGAGAGACTTTGATAAAGAGTGCAGGTATATGTTTAGAGAAACTTTGATGAAGAGTGCAGGTATATGTTTAGAGAGACTTTGATGAAGAGTGCAGGTATATGTTTAGAGAGATGTTGATGAAAAGTATAGTTATATGTTTAGAGAGACTTTGATGAAGAGTGCAGGTATATGTTTAGAGAGACTTTGATGAAGAGTGCAGGTATATGTTTAAAAAGATTTTGATGCAAGCAATGCTAGCTCATATTCAGATAGATCTTTTTAAAAGGCATAAACATAGTTTGTGTGTGAGTTTGTATGTGTGTGTTTTTTTAAATAAATATATCACAGTCCCACTAATATGGATATATGATTAATGTTTGTGCCAACAGTGATCTGCAGTTCTGGTGAGGGACCTTTAGTTTTGTCACATCTGACAGCTGCCTTAAGCATTTTTACTTTGTATGTGCAAGCAAGAATCCAGGCAAGAGTATGTGTCTAATTTTATATGAAAACGCCGCTGGAACTATGTCGGCCACGCCCTTAGAATGGATAAATCAAGACTTCCTTACCAAGCCCTCATTTGGACACCACAGGGGAAAAGATCTCGTGGAAGACCTAGGGAAACCCTACGTAGAACTATCATCAGGGAAGGCTCACTCATGGGCCACTCAAACATCCAAGACCTACAACAGATTGCAACGAACCGCCATGCATGGAGAGTCATGACCTCTGCCCTATGTGCCGCACTCGACACAAGAGGAAAGACTAACTAACTAACTAACTAACTAACTAACTAACTAACTAACTAACTAACTAACTAACTAACTAACTAACTAACTAACTAACTAACTAACTAACTAACTAACTAACTAACTAACTAACTAACTAACTAATGTGCAAGCTTCAAAATTTTGCTGGGACTGACACACTTTTTTTTTTGTTTTAGATGGGAATTCCCATTAAAAACACTTATCTATTTGTAACACCATTGGTCACTGGCATCATGAGAGCTAATAGACTGAAATGAGTGGGGCAAATTGAAAAAATGTCAAATGACAGAGAAGTAAAAACTGTATACACAAGGGAGATGAATGGTCGTAGACCACAAGGCAGACCAAGAAGATGATGGAGAGGTAATGTCCAGGCAGACCTGCAAACACCTGGTGTCACCACTGGAAAGAGAAGGCCAAGCAGAGAGATGAATGGAGGTGGGTGATATCTGCAGCAATGAACCTTAAGTGCTCAGAATGCTGAAGAAGAAGAAGAAGAAGAAGAAGAAGAAAAAGAAGAAGAAGAAGAGGAAGAAGATCTATTTGTAGCACATATCTATTCAGTCTCTTCTTACTTATTTTTGAATTATTGGTATAAATGGAAATCTAAAATAGGAACACTAACTTTTTTGTAACATATGCTTATTTTGTTATTTTTCACACATTTCTGAATTATTAAGAGGTGGTTGGCAGAAAAGTTATGAATGCAGGACTCTCATGCTGTAAACCCAGGTTTAAATCCCCAGGAAGGTTGTGGATTTTGTTGTTGTTGGGGCAAAAGTAAAATCCTAACCCACACTGTCAATGGTGACAGCACTGACCATGCGGCCCTAAGTCCTCAGGTACAAAGACCGCCCAGCCTACACTACAAAAGTGGTAAATACAGCCAGTAGCTCACAGTTTCTTCTGAATTATTACTAGTTTTTATGATATCAGGTCGCCCATTGGCTCGCATGTAGATGACTTTGTCGCCGCTCGGGACAGTATTTGGGTCTGCTTTGATTGCATCAACACTCCAGGAGTCCTTTTCAGGGCTCTTGGTGATGTGCACTGCTAAGCCATTTTTTATGGTGCACATAACCTAGTCACAATTATAACCTGAAGCTTCACCTTGCTTGTTGAACGTGATGATTTTTTAAATATTTTTTCAGCAAAGCACCTATCTGGTTGTGATGGGAATCTACGACATAAACTCTGATCTATTTGAGTAATGTGTTGCTTTAGCCATTTTCCACTCATTTCTGAATTGTTTTATATAGCAGTCTACAAAAGAACACTTAACTTTTTGTAAACTATCTCTGTTTAATCTCTTTCACTCATTTCTGAATTATTATTTTAGATGGTGGTCTACGAAAAGAAAATTTACCTTTCTGTAAAATATCTCTGTTTAATCTCTTTCACTCATTTCTGAATAATTTTTTTATATGGTGATCTACAAAAGGAACACTTACCTTTTTGTAAAATATTTCGGTTTAATCTCTTCTCACTCATTTCTGAATTATTGTTTCAGATGGGAATTTTCATGAGGATCTGCTTAGAACAACACAACTCATCTACAGCAATGGGAAATCTGGAAAATTGGTATGTTGTTTCTAAAATTAATTTTATTGAATTGTTTTGGACTTATCACACTCTGGTGCCTGTGATTAGCAGTTACACTCCTGCACATCTCATAGTTGTTTTAAACCTTTCACACAGAGAGACTGCAAAACAGGTACACCTGGTTGGGTTCAGTTCCCTGTAAATGTCACTTTTCGGAATTTTCTATAGTGACCTGCTTACAAGATGCATAGGTAATGCTATCAGCTGTTTTCATGCGTGCACAAATGTTTAGGAGGTCAGGACATAAATACATTAACTAACAATACTATAGAGGAGGGTCTTTTTTTAAGTAAATGTGTTTTTTAAGGCACGTTTCCTGTAAGTCTCAGTGATAGAGATTACCGGGTCATAGCGTGAGTCACCTGATACATGTCTTCTTCACGTCCACCAGCTGTAAACTCCGGTGGAAAGTTTTGGTTGTTCATCATCTGGATTTTAGTTCCAGAACCTGAGTTTGTGTGCACATTTTAGTTCCAGAACCTGAGTTTGTGTGCACATTTGTTTTACATTTCTGATATCTTTATATGTGGACTGTTGGTTCCTTGCCTCTCAGGCAGATGCACTCTGACTTCGAAGGAAGCCCTCAGTTGACTCTTACAACATGCTTACTGGGGAGACAGTGGACCTGGTCTTGTTTTCCACACAATGGGGTCCCAGGAGCCACAAGGGGGACCTGATACTTGTGTTTTTTTTTACTCCCCAGGGATGTATACTTCTTACTTCTTCACCCTGTTCATGTTTATTGATTACTTGTGTCATATATCTTTACATACATTCCCCCACCCCTATCTCACACACACACACACATTCCCCCCCCCCCCCCTTCACACCCAAATGTCAGTAATTAAATTTTTTAAGAATTTATCAGTGACCTGTGAACAGATGGAAAAGCTGTTTAAACCCTATTTTGATATAAAGAAGGGAATTATGGACAGTTAGTAAATTAGCGAAAACTTTTTTGGAAGCTGCGGAGATGTGGTTTAAAAGATGAATGATGAGAATATTCTGGACATATAAAAAAATGTAATAAAGACGTCATGAAAGAAACTGATTCAAGACGAGAACTGATTGCCAACATCCGAAAGAGACAATCTGTAGTCTTTGGTCATGTGATTGGAAGGAGAAAACATGAGTACATCGTGACTGTAGGACAAGGAGGAGAGGCAGAGGGAGACAGAGAGAATAGATGCTGGACCGTTTGACATCGTGGCATGGAGGATCATCTGTGTCAGAGTTGATTGAAAGTATATGAGAGATAAGGTTGTCAATAGACATGACTACCAACACCACACAGTGTGGACTTTAAGAAGAAGTGTACAGTTGTTTTATTTTTGGAATTCTCATTTGGTTATGACCTACTCTTTTTAAAATTCCCAGGGAAAAAGGGTTAAAAAATAGTATTTATCTTGTATGTCTGAAATTTGAAAGGTCATGAGTTCAGGTCCTGATGAAGCAGGACGTTTTTTAAAAATGACCTTGACTTCTAGGGTGACCAAGCCTTGAATGGGTAGCAGGTGCAGTCCTGGGAAGTAAAGGTGGCTGGCGTGATGCTGACCACATCACCCACCAACTACTGTTTGGTCTATAAAATATAGGTTAAGTACGTCTAAAGGTGTGGGAAAAGGGGCCCTTACTTTACTTTTTATTTCTGAAATTTGTTGTGTGCCATTTTCTAAGCTTTCATTCAAAGCCCGTCTGATGACCTCTTTATAGCAGAGTCAACTGAGTCATAGTTTTATACTTAAGTCTTTAAGAAACGAATTATCACCTTATTAAAAGACTACAGGGTTAGGAGAAGTGTTCCATGTGTGAATTTGAGACATTGGGGGGGGGGGGGGGGGGGGGGAGAGGGGGGGAGGGGGGGGGGTAATAATTAGCCTCACTGCTGCCCTAATGAGCTTGTCATAAAACATAACTAATTAGGGTTTTCCTGAAATCCGATGTGTTGGTTAAAAGTGCCGATGTCGCTGCAGTGCTGTAAACCACAACACTACATTCCAGTCTTTTTGAGGATGGCACAGAAAATGAAAAAGCTGAAGGTGGTAATGAATAAGAAAAAGAAGAAAAAGAACAAGAACAAGATGATGAAGAACAAGGACAAGAAAAACAAAAAGAAGAAAAAGAAGAAGAAATAATAATCTGTGACATATGGCAAGAACAAAGATATCAGAGTTGAAGTTTTCAAAGGAAGAAAATGTTATAAGGGTTAACAGAGTGAGCTGAAAGATTGTTAGTAGTATTGAATTCCAATCTGTTTTCATGCATCCATTGTTGCTTCAAACCAGATACCTCATCTTCGAGAGCCTAGAAGCTTGTATGCCTTAAACAAAGAATTAGGACCACAGCAAGCAGCAAGATGGTGAGATCAAGTTACCTACAGCAAAATTGTATTAGTGTGTACTACGCTTTGTATGTTTGACATGTCAAGACTGTCACTGGTTATGAGGGTTCATAGGCCATAAATGAAAGATTATGTCAGTATTTTTTTAGGGTTCTTAATGTTGCACTGTCAGTAGTTATGAGAGTTCCTGGCTTTCACATGTCAAGACTGAGTACTTAGTGAGTGTTCATAGATTACAAAGGAATGTTGAATTGAGAATTTACATAACATCATGCAGGACACTCCCATCAGTGCTCTTTTTGTGTGTGTCCCATCTTCAGCTGCAAGTGAAAGTAGTGTATTGCATTGTGATCCTATATCATGGTGTGGTAATGGGAGGGTGTGTCCTGTAGATCCTACGCGGCTCCTACTAGGTCAAGGGTCATGCTGTGACTGATTGTCCCCAAGATGGCGGCATGTTGTTAACTTTGTATATGTTATTTGTCTTAGATATTTATTAAATCTTTGAACTGTTAAAAAGTTGAGGTTTAAAAAAAAAGTTTATGAGGGGTTAGAACCGTCTTTTTCACACATTTTTTATTATCCACTTGTGGGGGATACTCAGGGGTGGGCTGGCCTCTCTTTTAGGAGTATAATGTTTTGGGGTTTCTCCTATAACAGACTAATAGAATTTTGTCTGGTGCGGGTGGGCCTCTCTTTCCCTTTGTCACCTCAGGGTTTTTAACCTATATCAGACTTATAGAATACTGTTGTTTAGTGATGTCAGCGGGCCCCTCCCCAAGATGGTGGCCTCTCTGTTCTTCTTCTTTTCTTCTGTCTTCTCTTATTGTTTGGTGATTACCAGAGTTGTATACATTTGTAGGCCTCTCTCTCTCTCTCTCTCTCTCTCTCTCTCTCTCTCTCTCTCTCTCTCTCTCTCTCTCTCTCTCTCTCTCTCTCTCTAACCCCTGTCATCATCATCTGTAGCTCTTGGCTACTTCTCTGTCTTCTCCTGCGTCCCCGTGTAGCCTACGCCTCTGGAGTTACAATAGTAGTCACAGAAGATGGTGAAGTTCATACTAGAGACAACATTGCAGATATAGATAATCTATTTCAAGTGAAAGAAAGAAGAAGAAGAACAACAACAACAGTAGTAGGTAAAATACTCAGCATTGAATGAAAATATAACCAGAAAATGAATACTAATTTATATGTTTTGTTTATTATATAATTTTATTTCACGTATTATCAGTAGACATAGAAATCATCACAAATAAATTAAAATTAAACATACAATTCAAAATATTGTCAACAATACATACATGATTACAATACTTATAAGGCATTCATAAAAATTTCATCGACACAGTCTGCCTTTTATTAAATATTAATGTACACAAAACATATGTACATATTCACTTTGGGTTTCAGTATTTTCCATGATCACAAGACCAATACCATTTATTGTCAGTATTGTCTTGGTTTCATTATCACAAAATACATATGTCAGTAGACAACTTAATTGTCGTTTTTACATTATTATGGCACTTTATTTCTTAGTAATATTCACAAGGATATTGAACAAAATCTTTACATATGTATGGAACATTTGTCATGGATTTAATATATTTACAATCTTCTGGTAAAGTATCAGAATTATACATGTGTGTATGCGTGCGTGCGTGTGAGCAAACGAGTGAGTGAGTGAAGTCATCGGTCTGTGTTGTATGTACATATTTTACTCTGTAGGAAAGACATGTTGTATTTTCATTTTGTACAAGACAGGCAGAAAAAGTAATTATACTGTAAGAGGAGAAGGAGAAATATTATTATCATGAATGTCGTTTTATGTAGAGATGGGACAAGGAATATCTGTATTGTTTATAGGTATAGACAGAAGATTTGTGTGTCTTAAAACCAATATTGGTGCCTCCTTGTGGTTGTTGTGTTTCAAGGACTTTTAAAATGTGTCACTATCTAAAGTATTATGATGCTTCAACAGTCCTTTGGTGCTAGTTTTTGCATAGTCACTGTAACATTTGATAATTCTCTTGTGTGATTCACGTTTACAGGCCATCAGACTTGCAAGTGATAAATGAAAAGGTGAAACATATACAGACATTGCCTCCAGAGCGGGAGCCTTTCTATAAACCAAGTATGTTTGCTAGGTTTTAAAAGTTGTTTTGTTAATTAACTGCTAAGTTCATCAGAAAGGGACTGCATGGTCTCGAGGCATGGTGTCAGCCTCGATTGCTAGAAATTCCGGGTTCAATCCCCGGTAAGGGCTCAGATTTTTTTCACTTCAACTTGGACTTCTAGTAATTTCTCCTGGTCTCTGGGTAGGGAGATGTGCATTGCTGCGCACGTAAAAAAAATCCCTTGGCAGTTGGAAATAAAAAAAAGAGAAGCCTAACGGCGCTGCCCAGCCAAAATTTGAAGTTAAAAGTCTACCCAAAGTATTTCAGGATCCTCACCAGTGCTACAGAGCCCGTGCACTGTGCTGAGCCTCTTCAGACTTACCTTCAGACTTGAGTTAGAAGAAGAAAGGAGCAATTATGGATTACTACCCGTGTGCCATCATGTTGATCCGTTGTTCAAACTTGAGTATATCAGATTAACACTAAGCAATGTAACATGGATTAAAGCCACCATCATCATTGTCCTGTTGTGCCATTATATATCACAAAAGGTTAAACAATATACTCCTCCATTCCATCCTATCCTGTGCAATCACTTTGACAACATGGATTTAATCCAGTCCAGCACCTTTGTCCTCTGGAGTCTAAAAAGTGGATGAACAACCAGAACTTTCCGCCAGAGTTTACAGCTGGTGAACACGAAGAAGAAGAAGAAAAGTAAAGAGAATCACCAAACAGGCCCAGAGTTTACAGCTGGTGAACGTGAAGAAGAAGAAGAAAAGTAAAGAGAATCACCAAACAGGCCCAGAGTTTACAGCTGGTGAATGTGAAGAAGAAGAAGAAAAGTAAAGAGAATCACCAAACAGGCCCAGAGTTTACAGAAGGTGAACGTGAAGAAGAAGAATAAAAGTAAAGAGAATCACCAAACAGGCCCAGAGTTTACAGCTGGTGAACGTGAAGAAGAAGAAGAAAAGTAAAGAGAATCACCAAACAGGCCCAAAGTTTACAGCTGGTGAACGTGAAGAAGAAGAAGAAAAGTAAAGAGAATCACCAAACAGGCCCAGAGTTTACAGCTTGTGAACGTAAAGAATAAAAGTAAAGAGAATCACCAAACAGGCCCAGAGTTTACAGCGGGTGAACGTGAAAAAGAAGAATAAAAGTAAAGAGAATCACCAAACAGGCCCAGAGTTTACAGCTGGTGAAAGTGAAGAAGAAGAAGAAAAGTAAAGAGAATCACCAAACAGGCCCAAAGTTTACAGCTGGTGAACGTGAAGAAGAAGAAGAAAAGTAAAGAGAATCACCAAACAGGCCCAGAGTTTACAGCTGGTGAACGTGAAGAAGAAGAAGAAAAGTAAAGAGAATCACCAAACAGGCCCAGAGTTTACAGCTGGTGAACGTGAAGAAGAAGAAGAAAAGTAAAGAGAATCACCAAACAGGCCCAGAGTTTACAGCTGGTGAACGTAAAGAATAAAAGTAAAGAGAATCACCAAACAGGCCCAGAGTTTACAGCTGGTGAACGTGAAGAAGAAGAAGAAAAGTAAAGAGAATCACCAAACAGGCCCAGAGTTTACAGCTGGTGAACGTGAAGAAGAAGAAGAAAAGTAAAGAGAATCACCAAACAGGCCCAGAGTTTACAGCTGGTGAACGTGAAGAAGAAGAAGAATCTAGTCCAGCACCTTTGTCCTCGTTGTCATTCATCTCGGGGGTTTCTTTTGGGCATCTTCAATTAGTCAGTTGCCTTGTTTCCCGAGTGCCTGTTTGGTGATTCTCTTTACTTTTCTTCTTCTTCTTCGCGTTCACCAACTGTTAACTCTGGGCCTGTTTGGTGATTCTCTTTACTTTTCTTCTTCTTCTTCACGTTCACCAGCTGTAAACTTTGGCGGAAAGTTCTGGTTGTTCATCCACTTCTGCACTGCAGTCCTGTTCCAGAACCTGAGTGTTGCGTGTCCATCCATTTTATAGATCTGACTCATTTGTATGCAGACTGAAGGTTCCTTGCTTCTCAGGCAGATGCACTCCGGCTTTAAAGGAAGCTCCTAATTAATGGACTCTTACGACATGCTTTTGTGTAGGCAGTGGGTCTATTCTTGTTTTCCCTATAATAGGGCCCTGGAACCCACACGGGGAATCTTTACTTTTCTTCTCAGGATGTGTCCAGTATAGGGCTATCTTTTATGTCCTTTAACTGTTGTTAGACTGAGACCAGTGATAGAACCACAGCTGGCAGAAGAACAGATGGGATTTAGGAGAAATAGAAGCTGCACAGATGCAATCTTCACACTTAAACAGTTAATAGAAAAGAACATTGAATACAATAAGAACTTATTTGTGGCTTTCGTAGACCAGGAGAAGGCATTTGACAGAGTCGACAGACAATTATTATGGAAAATAATGGCAAGGTATGGAGTAAGCGAACACCTCATCGAAGCGTGCAAAAGTTTATACAGGGATTGTAGAAGTGTAGTTAGAATAAATCAGGGAACATCTCATCCTTTCACAGTGACATCTGGAGTAAGACAGGGGTGTGTCTTATCACCACTGCTGTTTATCACCTACATCGACAGTATATGCAAGAATGCCAAGCCCATGAATGAAGATCTTAGTAAGATCAACGAATTACTCTTTGCAGATGACCAGGCCTTGATAGCAGATACAGCCATGAAATTGCAACAACATCTAACATCCATGAATGAAGAATGTAAAACAAATAATATGAGAATCAACACTGAAAAGACAGAAGTAATGTCAATAGGAAAAAAGAAGACAGATCTAAACATAACAATAGAATACAAAGGCATTAAACAGGCATCTGAGTTTAAATATCTGGGAACTACATTTACCGAAGATGGGAAATTGGATAAAGAAATTGACATTAGGTGCAGTAAAGCAAACCAAGTATTGGGACAGCTAGCCCCCCTCTTACAGCATAAGACAATCCCAATCAGCACAAAGAGACATCTTATTCAAAGCATATTTATTCCAACTCTGTGCTACCAGTGCCAGACATGGTCACTCACAACAAACCATAAAAGAAAATTAGTAACCACGGAAATGAGATGTCTGAGAAGGGCTGTAGGAGTGACCATAAGAGATAAGATCAGAAATGAGATCATAAGAGAACAAGTCGGCACAGAACCAATTCTGGATTACATACAAAGACAGCAAGTGAAATGGTTTGCCCACTTAGAGAGAATGCCTTGTGACACCATACCATACAAAGCATACATGGGAAGAGAAGAAGGACGTAGAGCACGGGGTAGACCAAGAACAAGATGGAAGGATAACATCAGAGAAACTCTACAACAGCACGTTGTGCCTATGGTCGAGGCAGCCAGAAGAGCTAGAAACAGAACCTTATATCTCCCTCGACACCCACAGCGGTAAAAGAGGAAGTGAAGAAGAAGAAAAAGAAGAACTGTTGTTACTAGTGGTTGCCTAGACGTTTCTTTCATTTCTTCACCCATCTTGAATGCATGCAATTGAAGTTGGAGTATATCTGCCGGTTAGGCAGGGAACTGCAAACAAATAAGCCAATAAAATGGTAGTACATGCAAAACTTAGGTAAAAGACATAAGTCCAAATGGACAAACTACCGGGAGCTTCCGCCGGAATTACCAGCCGGTGAGCGAAGAAGAAGAATAAAAACCATGCAAAGTAAAAATTAATCCATACACAAAATGGTCGTTACCATCATCTGTCTATATTGTTTTTGCATTTCCCCTAACAGAGTGGTTGACGTTTTGTGTTGTGAGTTACAGTTAGACTTTCACATTTGCACTTTTAATCCTGAGACATCTGATTTCAACAAATCCAAAATTATTCCCCTTTTACAACATGCTTGTGTGTGTGTGTGTGGGGGAGGGGGATAGTCTCTACTAAAGTGAGGCCCCAGATCCTTCACAGCGAGTCCTCTGTTTATTTCTTCTAGCATTTTTATTGTTATAATCTTATTTATTTTCCATTTTTAAATCGTGTGATGTAGGATAACTCTTGAAACATCCAACACCAAACTTTCTATCCTTTGTGATCTCTTGTAGTTCCTTCCATATCTTTTCTGTAATACTCATCTCTACCTCTAATTCTTTTCCCCCATGTGTTTGTTTAGTGTCTGTATATGTCTTTTGCCTTTTGTTGTCATTAATTGCCATTTAATTTATCAATATTCTTCTTCTTCTTCTCTTTCACCTTGTACCTCAAAGAAGGTCGGGGGAAGATGTAACATTTGTTGATGAGCTCTGTCAAGAGCACTATTAAGACTGATGTTCATTTCTGTAAGGCTGTTCTTAATGCCATCACTCCATATTTTCCGAGGTCTTCCACTCGCTCTATACCTGTTGTAACGTTTTAGTGTGGCTCGCTGTGGCAGATAGTACCAGGGCATTCTTGTTAGGTGTCCAAACCACTTCATTTGTTGTTCTTTGATGACCTGTAAGACTGGCTTTATTCCTAGCATTTGTCTGATTTCGTGATTTTGTATTCTGTCTTTCCTTAAAACTCCTGCTGCTCTTCTAAGGCATGTCATCTCTGTTATATATTCAATATTCAGCCACCATAAAATAATGTAAACTATCTGCCTCCATCATCAGCAAATCTTTGAAACATGTAACAGTAGAAATGCTTCCATCGATGATGAACTGAATTTCTAGTGCCTGACTGTTTGCGTTAGCACTTCTGATGGTCTTAAGCATTTAATGCATAAATATGCTATTCACTTTGCTGAAACTGCAGTCTGTCTCAATTTTTTTCTCACAAAGGACAATCTTCTTCTTTACATTCACTGGCTGCAAACTCCGGCAGAAAGTTCTGGTTGTTCATCCACTTCTGGACTCTAGTCCTGTTCCAGAAACTGAGTGTCGCGCGCACATCCATTTCACAGGTCTGACTCATTTGTATGCAGACTGTGGGTTTCTTGCCTTTCAGGCAGATGTACTCCGACTTCGAAGGAAGCTTCCTCTTGGTCGACTCTTATGACATGCTTTTGGGCAGGCAGTGGCTCTGTTCTTGTTTTTACCTACAATGGGGCCCCACAACACCCACATGGGGAGCACACACAGGACACTGAAAGACATTCTGTGTGGTTTTCCTTTGCACAGGAACTTAGCAACTATGACATGACCCATTTGCTGTGGAGCTGAAACAGCCAGAAATAAGGAATTAATCGGAAAAATTTTCATGTTTGTTCACATGTTGTACTTCTTTTTGAAAATTCACTCCTAAAAGAAGGCTGACCTCTTAGCAGAGGCCAAATATGCAAACAATGCACAGAGGGAATAGGAAAATACCTGGGGATTCACACATACATAGTGCACAACTAGGCACTTACCATAAATTATACGGCATTTCAACACCACAAGGTAGAAGAGGATCAAGATTAGATGAGAGATATGTCTTTTAAAAGGGTGGTTGGTACAGAATCAAGATTAGATGAGAGATATGTCTTTTAAAAGGGTGGTTGGTACAGGATCAAGATTAGATGAGAGATATGCCATTTAAAAGGGTGGTTGGTACAGGATCAAGATTAGATGAGAGATATGTCTTTTAAAAAGGTGGTTGGTACAGGATCAAGATTAGATGAGAGATATGCCTTTTAAAAGTTTGGTTGGTACAGGATCAAGATTAGATGAGAGATATGCCTTTTAAAAGGGTGGTTGGTACAGAATCAAGATTAGATGAGAGATATGCCTTTTAAAAGGGGGGTTGGTACAGGATCAGGATTAGATGAGAGATATGTCTTTTAAAAGGGTGGTTGGTACAGGATCAAGATTAGATAAGAGATATGCCTTTTAAAAGGGTGGTTGGTACTAGTGTGGTTTGCAGTTATTTCGGCTCAGAAAAATGTGTCTTGTATTTTGCCTTTTGACTCAGCATATCTAATTACATCAAACCCTTAATTAATCAGGTATAATTACATTTTAAGAGGCAATTTGTCTGTCTTTCGCCATCCTTCCCCTCAAAAGGATCTCAGGACTCACACAAATTATACTTTCTATTTATGCATTTACCGCGGCCTTGTTACAGGGAAAACTAGAATACACCCACTGTCTGCCCAAAAGCATGTTGTAAGAGTCGACAAATTGGGAGCTTCCTTTAAAGGTGGAGTGCATCTGCCTGAGAGGCAAGGAACCATCAGTCTGCATAAAAATAAGTCAAATCTGTAAAATGAATTCACACGCAACACTCAGGTTCTGGAACAGGACTGCATTTCAGAAGTGGATGAACAACCAGAACTTTCCGCCAGAGTTTAAAGCTGGTGAACATGAAGAAGAAGAAGAAGATTTCAAGCTTTCATTTTAATTATTATGCAAGTTTTACTAGCATGCTTATTTCTGTGTTATATTGAACAGCTGGTTTTGAAAAGAGTCCAATGGTGCGAGGAGAAGCTAATGGAGGCAGAATTGTCTTTTGTTATGAGACTACCTCAAGTTTTGTAAGTGTTATTTAAACTTTATTGTAGAAGTAGGTTCAGGGAGCTGATGTTTTTTAAAATCCTAAATGTGAAGGAAATGTTACAGAAATCTGAAATGTTAAACAACGTTTTAAGTATAGTTGCAACTTGAACTGACATCTCCAAATTTAAAATATGCTCAAATTGAGTCATGAAAAGCTATTATGTAGACTACCATAGCTGAGTCATTGCCCATACCCAGAAAGGTTTTTATGAAATACTTCTAACACTTTTGAGATTGCTAGGAGAATTGTGTGCTGTCCTCAGTGTACTTTGAAGAGCTTTATGCCTTCATTTAAGTCATTTTATTTTCTTCTGGCCACAGGAAAGGTACTCTCTGAATAGACTTTGCCCTCATTGTGGAACAAAAAAACAAAAACAAAAACAAGAGGCAAAAGAAGTGCTTGGGGTTTCTTAGCAAAAGTTAATAGTCACTGTTTGGTGCAGGAGAGCCTAGCATATGATACCACAATATCCAGCTTAAGAATGGAGGTGGAGGCAGTCACTCCAGCTTTCAACTGGTTAGAGAACACAACACACACACGCACATCATGACTGCAACTGACTCAGAAAGCATGCTGAGGAAAGTCAGGACAAGCATACTTCGTGCAGAGTGGCATGAGGAGGACACAGGTGATGAGAATTGTCTGGATTTTTTCACTGCGAAGCTGGTGTGTTGGGAAATAAAAAGGCAGGCAGACTGGCTGGCTCTGCACAACTTGGTGGAATACTGATTCATGATAGGGCTGACGTGGTTAGTGCCTTGTAGGAGAGCATGTACACTTCCAAGGAGCAGATGGATCACCACAGTCTGGTGAGATTAATGCAGGGGGGAGTGACGAGAGGTTCTGGCAGATGCTCGATGCCCAGAGGAAAGGCAAACGGACGTTTAATCAGAATGCTACTGGCACCATTTGTATTGGAGCTCTGCACTGGCTGCTGAAGATGGGGACAGAGCACCTATGGGAATGCCCTGAGTGCTGTGATGTCGGTTCTTGAATCAACTCAACTCAGCTTATTGTGGAACACAATCCTAGTACTATTTCTGGCATTACCTCTGTGTGTGAATTAAGCTTTCACTTTTGGTGTAAATGACTTGGGATGAAGTCTCACAAACTCATTTTAGGAAAAAAGCAGCATAATGAGGAGTTTAAATCTGTGACCATTGAAGCAGCAGGCATGCATACTAGCTGTTTATTGCAACCGTCTTAGTGTGTCAATGAAACATGCTTAACACTGTGTTCGCAATACCGTGTGCAAACTTTTTATTTTCTTCTTCTTCTTCGCGTTCACCAGCTGTAAACTCTGGTGGAAAGTTCTGGTTGCTCATCCACTTGTAGCCTGCAGTCCTGTTCCAGAACCTGAGTGTTGCGTGTGCATCTGTTTTACAGATCTGACTCATTTGTATGCAGACTGCTGGTTCCTTGCCTCTCAGGCAGATGCATTCCAATTTTGAAGGAAGCTTTCAATTAGTGGTAACGACATGCTTTTGGGTAGGCAGTGGGTCTAGTCTTGTTTTCCCTATAACAGGGCCCCGGAACCCACACAGGTACCTTTTATTTTGTTTAATAAAATCATTGATTTTTCTGTCATTATAATTGTTCAGTTCACCAAGTCTCGTATTGGAGGATCAAGAAGTGGCTGTGAGCAGTGTTCGGTCAAGCTGAAATCTGACACTGATACAACACTGATATTTGAGAGCAGATTTGAAAGTGGCAACTTGGGAAAAGCTGTTCAAGTGTAAGTGTTTATACAGTAAAGCCCCATTAACACAAATTCCAAGACCCTAACCCTAACCCTAACCCTAACCCTGACTCCTGACAGACTGCAGAGAGCAGATTCCTGGCATAGTAGACATGTTAGTCAGAACACTGACTGATGAAAACGGATGAAGATAGTGTTGTAGTTTACATGGATGTGTAAATAATTTGAGACAAGGGAAGTGCATGGTTGTTCACAGTGAGTTCAAAGGGGAAAACCTTCAAAGTGATGAATGGCATTTTTGCTGTTACAGCTAGAAGACTCATAATAGAAGCTGGCTGTAGCAAGGGTATCTGCATGGCTTGGTACTAAAAAGATCACACACCTGTGCATGCTTAGCGAATCTTTGTATATGCTTTAACAAAAATCCATACTGGGTTTGTCAGACAAGAATGAATTGTAACACTATGCGTGTGTGTGTGTTGTCCATCAAGATGATGATGACCACTCTTTTTCATCAAGTATGAGTACGAAGATGACTGATGAGGCCAATGCGGGCCCGAAAAGTTCTTGGACAGTGAGGACAGGGAATGAGCGTTGTGCCAGGGAGGGGATCTCATGCAGTTGCCTTTCTGTCCATCCTTTTCTTAATCAATCTTACTGCTCTGTTTGCTTGACATGTAGCCGCACCCTTGTGTAGAGTTGCCATGCATTTTGGTCTTGAGAGACAGTCTCCCAGTTAGTGTAATTAATCATAAATGCTTTGAGTGAAGACTTCAAGGTTTCCTTAAAGTGTTTCTTTTGCCCGGATTGGGAATGTTTCCCATTTTGCAGCTCACCATAGAAGAGTTTTTTGGGGAGCCTGTGATCTGGCAGCAACACTATGCACTTTATGATTGGCAGCCCTATACTTCATCCTTGTGGTGTTGCGGGTTTTTGACACAGCAAGCACGCAGATTATTTTGCAGACATTGTGGTTGCTGTAAACTAAGCTTACAAAGTGGCCAACATTTTAAAATTGGGGATCGTCACAGGCCAGAGGTCAGAGGTCAGAGACCCAGCATAGAAATATTAGTAATACAACACAACTAGCAAGGAGCCACTTGCTAGACGTCTGCAGGCCAAATCTGGCCCATGGGCTGCCAGTTGAATAGCCCTGCCGAAGCTGGTCAGGGACAGGACAGAAGCGATGTTATCAATGCCATGAGCAGTATTTACCATGAAAACAAGCACGCCAAAGGACATGACTCCGTATCCCTGTCTAGACTGATGGACATGGGGTGCAACCCAGCTGCCAGAAATGAACATTTCACTAAGAGGACATTGATGATCGGCTTCAACATCTTTTACCCATTTGTAATTCATTACAGAGGATATCCTTGGGGACTCTTCCATCCTCCATTCTCCAGGTGTGACCCTGCCACTTGAGCCTTTGTAGACTGAGCAATGAAAAAAACTGTTTTAATACCTGCTCTTTCCAACAACTCAGTGTTTGTGATCTTGTCCTTCCATTTGATGCCAAATATTCTTCTTAGGCATTGCATGTGAAAGCTATTTAACCGTCTCTCCTGGTGCAAATAGGTTGACCAAGTTTCACTGCCATAAAGCAGAATGCTGAGAATAGAAGCCTAATAAACAAGAATTTTTGTTTTAATCGTGAGCTTTCTGTTCTCCCAAACTCTTTTTGTTAATCTGCTCAGTGTTGTTGCTGCCTTACTTATCCTGATTTTGATTGATTGGTCTAGTGATAGTTTGTTTTTCACTGTGGATCCCAGATAGGTAAAGTGGTCAACTGTCTCCAGCTCTTCACCTTCAGTGTAGACTGCAGGTCTTTCACTAACACCTTGCACCATAACCTTTGTCTTGACTGTAAGTCCAATTTCACAACATGCATCAGCAAATGCAGACAGTAAACATTGAAGCTCCTCCTCTGAGTGGTGATTGGTTAATCAACTCAGATCCATTATTATCAGTTGTTTTATGCTTGCAGGTCGGCTCTGTGACTAAGTCGATGCAAAAACTTCGTAATGCCGGGGTGCCGGGTTTGATCCCAGCTGCGGGCCATGCGTTGGTTTAGACAGTGACCAGAAAGCAATGGCAAACTACTGGACGTAAATTTGCTTAGAAAAAAAATCCTACAATAGCCAGGGGCTGCTGGGATTGGTTCTGCAACGTCCTGTAAAGGATACGCAACTAACCTTATGCTTGCAGAGCTCTTGAGGTAGAGATCAGAGCACCTATGGGTTTGTCCAGAGTCATGTGATGATAATCTTCACTAATTACCAAAGGGACTGCAAAAGTCAAGAGTTCTTGATTAACAGTTCATGCTAACTGGGGACTAAATAATATATCCCTGCTAAAAACTAAATTTTATTCATGATAACCAAGTGTTCTTCTTAACTTGTCACTTCTTTAGAAGCCACAAAACTGGCCACCTCGGAATTGTTCCATTTCCCTGTAAAAGTCACTTTTCCACCTTTTCTAGAGGGACTTGCTTATGAGATGCATAGATAACATTATTGGCTGCGCTCGCACCTGCACAGTATTCAGGAGGCCAGGATATGAATATATCTGCTAAAAATAGCATTAAGGGAGAATTGCTTGTGAACAACATGCCTTTGATGGTACTCACCACAACGTGTCTATTACATTAGCACTGAAAATAATAATGCTTAAAAGGATGCACGTAGAGTGTACTGTTGTGTAACAGCGGGAAAAAAGCCTTTTTACTATTGAATATTTTATTAATACCTAATACTTTAATTTTCAAAAAGGGGAGAGAATGAATATGAACTGTGGTTGAGATATGACCTCTACACAAATAAGCACACTCAATGGTTCTACTTCAGTGTGTCCAACACAAGATCAGACAGGGAGTATCGGTTTACTATTGTCAATTTTATGAAAGTGAGTATGTTATTTACACCATGATTACACAGTAAGACAGATGACTTCTTTTCTTAACGCAGACAGATCTTGCTAGTCAGTCACACTCACCATAGGCTGTGAGTCCCATGCCTCCTCATAGCACAATACAAACACTATCCTATAGAAAGACGGAAAGGTGCCAATCCAATCGAAAACATCAAGATTATGTTATATCACCAAAATGAGAATTTTTTTCTTCCTGAATCACCTTAGGTCTGCATATTTTTTTAGCGTTATCCATTACCCTGATCTGATTCTTATTATTTGTTGTCTTTTTTGACATGGTAGCACATCTGACCCATTCATGCTCCGTCCTCCAGTGCAGCAGCCATCTCATTGTCTCCAGAGCTCAACGTACTTAGTTAGAGTTGACTGGCATTTCTCCTCTCTTTACCCCACACCTAGTTTCTGCATGCTTGTCTCAATTCACATTTCTAATAGATGGCCCATTGTCTCTGACCCATTGGTCTCAACATCTCTGGAACACATTGCATGCAGATGTCTCTGCACTGTCCATTCTTCCTCCTCCACTAACTATTGAACACATGGTCAGTCTTTGAGCTGCTTTATTTACTTTCATCCAGGCATATCTTGGTGTGAACAGCCAAGATCATTTCTCAAGGAAGGAGTTCTGGATGCTGTTGATTGATTCTAGTCAGATGTTGCCAAATCTGAAGAAAATACAAAGAATGCCATGAATGGACAACAACCCCCCCCCCCCCAACACCCCCCCACACACACACATATATGCACGCACCACCAAACACACACTAATGCCTATGGATTCATTTCCACCAGTGGCTAAACCATTTTAATCTTTCTTTCTTAATGAAGTTAACGATATTTTTTGTTTCAATAATTCATATAATCTGTGCATGTCTCACACAATAGCTTCTTGTTTTCATTTGTAACCTTTTAAAGCCTTTTGTTTCACAGGTGGTTACTGCTTTATTATTGGTTGCAGTCTGTGTCAATTTTCCCATAAAGGATAGTGATAGACACATTCAAAAATGTTGCGTTTTGCTTAACAAGTACAGAAATTTAATTATCTGGGCACATGGATAACATCAGATGGAAGATGCATAACTGAGATAAGAAACAGAATAGCACAGGCAAAAACTGCATTTTATAAAATGAAGAACATCTTGTGCAATATATCTTTGTCTTTGAGAGTTGAGTTAGAAAAAGAATTATTGCTTGCTACATGCATCCCGTTTTAACATATGGCTGTGAATCCTGAACAATCTGTAGGTAGGCCAAACAATTTCTTGAGGCCTCAGAGATGTAGTCTTACAGAATAATGCTTAGACTACCTTGGACAGCCAAAAGGTGCAACCAAGAGGTTTTGAAAGAGGCCGGAGCCTGAAGACAACTCATCACAGATATCATTTTTTGGCCATGTTATGAGAAGAGGGAAAATAGAACATGTGACCACTGGAAAGATCTGTGGAAGGAGGGATAAAGGAAGACAACGAGAGATGATTCTTGACAGTCTTGTTGCATGGTATGGAGGTGTGCCAGCACACGAACTGATACATGCTGCAGGAGATCGCAGATTGTGGAGAGGCATGATCACCCACGCCAGTCGGCAAGGCACCTGATGATGATGATGATTGCTTAACTAGTGGCAGAGAATGACATACTGTTTATTTTGAAAAGATTTTAAATTTCAACACCATCATTAACATAATCTATAAACTAGTCAATTCTGCATCCAACAACTGTCTACTTTTGCCCTTTATCACCATTGAAGCATAGCCCACTCATACCAAGCCTTTCTTCTTCTTCTTCTGCCTCCCTAACCCCTAGTGGAGCATAGACCCTCAACCTGCTCACACCATTTTGTTCTGTTCTTCACTGTCGCATGTCGCTCTTCCCCCTGTCCTCCCCATCTTTTTTTAATTTTACTCTCTAGCTTCCTTCTTTATGTTTTTTTTTAGTCTTCCTTTTTCTCTATGCCCTGTGGGTTCCAGTGCAAAGACATTCTAACCATTCTATTTCTTGTAAACTCAGGCAACTCAGTGCCCTCCATATTTTTTTCTCCTGTCCCTCCACACGTGGGTTTCAAGACCCTCATGTTGGGGTTTAAAAAAAAAAGACCTTCTGACCACCCCCCCCCCCCCCACCCCCCACCAAGCATATCATAGGCGACTAATTATGAGTGTTTCATTCAAAGTCAGAGTAAATTTTCCCTGAGAGGTGAGGAACCAACAGTCTGCATACAGTTGAGTTGATTTGAGAATTGACATCACAGCACAGGGCGTTCCCATGCATGCTCCGTCCTCATCTTCAGCAGCCAGAGCAGAGTTCCAACACTGATGGTACCGGTCACAATCTGGTTATATGTCTATCTTACCTTTCCTCTGAGTGTAGTGAGCCAGCCAGAACCTCTGGTTATACCCAGGTGCCTCATTCTTTCCAGGCAATAATGATCCTCTTTTTCAATTGATTCCACTGCTTGTTCCCAAAGGGCCTTGACAACATCTGCCTTGTCATGCATCAATTCACCACCCAGCGGTGCAGATCCAGCCAGTCTGCCTGTTCATTACCCATCATGCATACAGATAAGTTAAGTATGTAAACAGATGTGCACACAAAACAAGTTCTGGAATGAGACAAAAATTCAGAAGTAGACAATCAACCAGAACTTTCTGCTGGAGTTTACACTCAGCATGAAGAAGAACACATAACGAAAGTGACTTTAGGCAAGAATATATATCTTCTTCTTTGCGTTTGGTTTCATATGATCAGATCAGACCATCAGGTGTGTTGCCCATATGAACTCGCATATCAGTAGCAGGTCCTTCATGGTTCCCTATAGCTTGCTCTGCACATTTTGATCTTGAGGCCAGGTGTCTTTTCAAAGTTGTAGGTAGAGTGGGCAGGTAAATGTAAGAAAATGTATAAATCAGGAGGGGGGCTGAGAGGCTGTTTCTTTCAGGCAGACTGTGATAAGAGCAAGGTTTTGCAAAAGATAAGTAGTCTGTGCTATCAATTTGTGTTTTGTCTGTTTAGCCGGAGAGTCTTTATAATGATGGTATGAGGCCTGTCTTGTACAGTGAGAAAGATGCTGCCCTACACAAGGTTGGCTGGGTACGAGGAGGGCATGACATCAAATACTACAAAAATAACTTGAGGTATTTAGATGTATTACTATATAATGAATTATATAAAGTTAAGGACTCTTTTCCATGCATTCAGGCATATAGGGCTAGACCCGTATTTTGTGGACCAATTGGCACTTGGTGGGTTAAATAGTCAACATCTCCAAACACCTTTACTTCCCAGGTCTGTACCCGGTACCCATTTAAAGCTGGATGGATCGACCTGGGAACCAAGGTCACAGGAAGAAAAAACGTCCAGCTCTGTCAGGACATGAACCTGCAGCCTCTGATTTGCAGGCTAGCATCTAGCTGCTGCACCATGGCGGCTCCCTGATGAATGATACATATGATTTTGTTTAATATAGTAAAGTAAAAGACCCTTCTCCACCACCAATATAGCCCAAGACCTATATTTTGTAGACCAGTTGGCACTTGGTGGATGATCTGGTCAAAATTGTGTGGCCACCTTTACTTCCCAGGACTTTACCCAGTACGTTTTAGGAGCAACACAAGAACAACCACCTACAGCGACGACCAAAAACACTTATAAGAACTATAAACAAAGAGACTTGGTTGAACAGATGGGCCATGGGAGATACTGGAAGAGAGGTTTATAGACATATGGCTGCCCTGATCCTAATGACAGCATTAATCATCTAACAAGAAGAAACCAGGCCACCATCTTCAGACTTAGAATGCAACATACTCCACTCAATGGACATCTAAACAGAATACAGCCACAAAACTCAGTTAGACTAGAAGAATGCTTGTGGAAGTGGAACACCTTGTACGGAGGAAAAGAACAGCTTATGAAAACATGCAACTTCCACTACATGGCATTCGGCCTAAGGGCGAAAGCTCATGCACCGCTGGATCGATAACAACAACAACCAGTTTTAGGCTATGTCAACTTGGGAGCCACAGTCTTTTTTTAGGGGAAAACTCCAGTGTAATGCAGATTTGAACACATGACTATTATGCCAAATCCTAGCCTCTTGCCGCTACATATAAACATGAATACAGAAAAATCAACTTCATCATCTTCATCCCTGTTTATGTTAAAGGGCCCTCTAGTGAGAAAAACAAAAATGCACCCGCTGCCTCCCCAACAAGCAGGTTGTAAGAGTCGACCAATTCAGGGTTTCCCTTTTTAAGTCAGAATGCATCTGCCTGAGAGTCAAGGGACCAACATTCTGCATGCAAAAAAGTCAGATCTGTAAAACAGATGTGCATGCGACACTCATGTTCTAAAACAAATCGAAATTCCACAGGTGGATAAATTATTAGTTGAATAATCTAATAGTAGTAGAAATAGTACTTGTGTCTACCTTTTGCTCTCTTGATCTTGACCAGCAATTCTCAACCTATGAGTGGTGACCCTTTTGGGGGTTGAACGAGCCATTCACAAGGGGTCGCTTAAGACATATTCACTGAAGTTATGAAGTAGCAGTGAAAATAATTTTATTGTTGGGGGGTTGCCACAACATGAGGAACTGTATTAACTCTTTGAATCCCAGGGGATTTAGCATCAGAGGCCCAAGGAACCTAAGCAGGAACCTATGAACGTATGATGTGTTCCTTGGGACTCAAAGAGTTAAAGGGTTGCGGCATAAGGAAGGTTAAGAATCACTGCCCTAGATCTTCCCCTCCGGAATGGTTATTAAAAACTGTGTTATGTCTTTTAATGCAGCCAAATTATTTAAATTGTCTCTTTATTATTTCTGTCAGCAATTCTGTTTTCATTTATAGTATTTCCAGTATATCTATATTTGATTGTTTTGGTTTCCATGAACCACGACTTATTCTTCCAAATGTCCATCTTTCCATAGACTCAGTTAGATTTTAGAGCTTTATAGTTCATCGTTTAAGTTTCTGAACCATTCAGCACGGCTGCATATACATAACATTTGATGTTGTATTTTTAATGCAGAAAGCTAACAAATTCTTTTCCTTTTTCTTTGCACTAGATATGAAGCAGGCAAAGTCGACCGGAGTTACTACTCTTTGACTTGGACGTCTAGATTCACCTACGACAATGACATTGTTTACTTCTCACATTGTTACCCTTACACATACACAGATTTACAGGTGATATGCTTGTTACCCTTACACATACACAGCTTCTTACCCTTACACATACACAGCTTGTTACCCTTACACATACACAGCTTGTTACCCTTACACATACACAGCTTGTTACCTTTACACATACACAGATTGTTATCCTTACACATACACAGATTGTTACCCTTACACATACACAGATTGTTACCCTTACACATACACAGATTGTTACCCTTACACATACACAGATTTACAGGTGATGTGCTTTTTTATTTCTAGTAATTCCATCTGTGCATTTTGAGACCCCACATTTGGAGACCCTCTGTCCAGTAAGAAGCATGTTCTAAAAGGCAACTAATTGGGGTTTGCTAAAATTAGATGTGTTGTGTTGAAAGACTTCATTAAAGGCATATGTAGAAGAAGCTGCCTGGTCGATCCACCCTTTAAAAATTAGAAAAAATTTTCAGAAACCATGAGCTGTTCACCCTTTGGCTCAGTACTATGGATATCACAACCATTTGCCCTTGATTCCATGATAGATACTGTAAATCTGTGAGAAATATGGCTTTTCTGCTTACTCCTGGGCGTGAACCTGGACCACAAGGAGTTTGTCACCCTGGCGTGGGGAAGTCACGTTTAACCAACTACGCTAGCGAGACGGGCGTCAGCCCAGCCCTAAATGGATACCATGTAAAAGTCCTATGAAGTAAAAGTGGCTGGCGTGATCAGAACCACATGACCCACCTGGTGCCTATTTGTCTATAGAATAGAGGTCTAGCTCTATTTGCCCAATATAAGTACACAGGTGTGTAAAGGTATCCTTTACGTTTTACTTTTATTATGAAGAAAACAAAACAAAAGATGAAGCAAAAGAATAACAAAAGAAGAAGAAGGGGTGGGGCGGAGAGGAGGAGAAAAAGGATGTGAAAGAAGAGGAGGTGCATGTATATCCAGAATGCTAAAGTAACATAGAAAGGAGGTCTGTTACTTTTATCTTAATCCTAAATTTAAAACACACATTCGTATTAGCTTGTGTGTAGGCGGAAGAAGAGGAAGAAGAAGGAGGAGGAGCAGCAACAGCAGCCAAAGTAGCAGAGTAATAATAGTGGTCTACACAGTGTCCTTAACTCTGGCCCCCTCCACCTCAATTTTTATACCTGTGACCAAAATCAGGAAGAGCTGAGGAGCTGCTGGCTGAATGGTTTAGAATGCTAGGCTTTTATGCATGAGACCTGTGTCTGAATCCTTGGTAAGGCTGTGGATGTTTTTTCTATCAGGGGCAAAAATATAATTCTTACCTGCACAGTCCACGACGACAGCACTAGCCATGACGTCCTAAATCCTCAGACTTAAAGAAGTCGAAGAAGAAGGAGGAGGAGGAAAGGAGAAAAAGGGATAAATTGAGGCAGTAATGACAGCTTTTGGCAATTGACCAAAATCAGGCCACTAAAGTTGACAGTTTTAGGAATCTTGTTTTTTTTTTCTTCCCCTAGGATTATCTACTGGAGTTAACAAATGATCCCATCAAATCACGCGTCTGCAAGCAGAGAGTTTTATGTCAAACTTTAGCAGGCAACCTAGTTTATGTCCTGACAATCACATCACCTTCACAAAATCCTGAAGATATAAAGGTAAGATTATAATGCTTCTTCTTCTTTGTACTGACGAGCTGTAAACTCTGGGGTAAAGTCCTGTCTATTTCCGGACTTTGGTCTTGTTCCAGGACATGAGCTTTGTGTTCACATTCATAGAACAGATCTGGCTTATTTGTGTGAAGACATTTGGTTCTATGCCTCTCAGACAGATGCATTCCAACTCTGAAGGAAACAAATTGATCCTGTCAACATTGGCCAGGAGCCTGGTTGGGAACCTCTTTCTCTAATGATTATGAAGATCAGTCTTGACCAGTATGTACCCTGGTACTGTTGCACAACCCTGTGTGGTTGGCTGGCTCTGTATCAGCTCTATAGTGCACAATGTGTTTGTCTATTAAATTATTTTGTTTCAGTCAAGAAGTTATGATATAATCTTTTCAAATATATTACATTTAATAGATACATGCAATAAATCGGAAAAACCTGGCGACAAGCCTTCAACAGCAAATGGCAGTGTGACACAAAAAAACAACACGCAATTAAAAGAAAATTGTGCAGATAAAAAAAAATTATTTAAGGAACGCTAGAATAATATTAAGTATGTGATACTTACCTAGGCCCTAGTACATTAACTCTTTGAGTCCCAGGGGGTTTAGCATCACAGGTCCAAGGGTTAGTCAAGAAAGACGTAAAATCGGCGCATTTTGCATTCATTGGCTTCTAGGTAGAAATCTATGAATGTATGACGTGTTCCTTTGGACTCAAAGAGTTAAAGCTGGTCTTATGATAAGTAAAAAAGTAAAGGACCCTTTTCCATGCCTTTCGGCGCTAGGGTATATAGGGCTAGACCTATATTTTATAGAACAATCGGCACAAGATTGGTGATGTGGTCAGCATCACGCCAGTCGCCTTTACTTCCCGGGACTGCACCCGGTACCCACTCAAGGCTGGGTCGACCTGGGAGCGAAGGTCATTTTTGATAAAAAGTCCGGCTCCACCATTGAGCGAACCCACGACCTTTCGATCCGCGGCGAGCGTCTAGCTGCTCCGCCACCGCGACTCCCGTGGTCTTATGATACCACAACAGTAATCAGCAAAATAACATAAAGTAAGAGATATTTACCAGGAGAAATGATGGTTGAATTTTTAAGACAGTGGCACGGAGGAATATCATCAGTGGAATCGATCCACAACACCAAGGACTGAGTTCTGTGGAGATGCTTGAATGCCTAGGCCAGCTGGCGAAGCACTTGATGATGATGATGCACAGACCTTAGTCCAGCAGAGTCTGGCATATGATACCACAACAGGTGGTTTGAGAATGGAGGTGGAGACAGTCACTGCAGCCTTTTTCTGGCTTGGAAACTAGCTGCGCACACATGTTCTAATTAAAACAGCCTCACAAAGCATGATGAAAAAGGTGGAGACAGGTATGCCCTGTGCAGTGAGGCAAGCACTGCTTCAGACATCATGGGAAGTTAGCATCCATTGGATATTTTCTTCAAGGTGTGCTGGTGTGTTGGAAAATGAACAGGCAGACAGATTGGCTGGTTCTGCTCTTGGTGGTAAATTAATGCATGACAGGATAGGTGTTGTCAAAGCACCTTGGGTGCAAGTGAACAGTGCAGATGCACAAATAAATCATGATGGTCTGAAGAGAATGTTGTTGTTGGGAGTGACCAGGGGATCTGACTCAAAACTCAGGGGAAAGGCAAGACAGACGTACAATCAAACTGCTATGAGCACCATTAGAAATGGAACTCTGTACTGACTGTTGAAGATGGAGACGGAGCACTTATGGAAATATCCTGAGTGCTATGGTGTCAGTTGCATAAATACATCCATCATATCTACTATACAACTTTGAAAATAATTAATAGAACCGTATTTTAAAGTAAAGGCCTTTTCCAACACTTTGAGCCATATTTAGTATATTGGTTAGGTGTATATATATCTACAGGCTTTATTTTACTGTGTAGCCAACTTGGCGTAGTGGATAGATGTTAACTTCCCTGAAAGCTGTGAGTTCAAATCCACATCAAGTTTTTTTCTTTCAACAACAACAAAATAACCTTGGCTCACAGCTTGACCTAGCCTAAAACAAGTACCAGGTAAAGTCCTGGGAAGTAAAGGCAGCTGGCACGATGCTGACCACACCATCCACCAAGTGCTGACTGGTGTACAAATTACAGTGTGTTATTTATTGTGAAGACTACCCATGTTGTTGTTTTTGGATGACTGCAGCACAAGAAAGCTGTTGTGGTGACGTCCAGGGTGCATCCTGGTGAGAGCAATGCTAGTTGGATGATGAAAGGGTTTTTGGACTTCTTGACTGGGAATTCATCAGATGCAAAGGTAGGTAGAGAGATAGACAGAGACAGAGGCAGAGATAGAGAGTGTGAGAGAATGGGGTAGAGAGAAAAAAATAGAAGGGAAGCATAAGTAAGACAGATGGGGCCAGAGAGAAGCAGGGAGAGAGAAAGGGAGAGAGGGGTATGGGAAGAGTAAATCATATAGATAATGTCAGATAGGAGAAGAGAGAGACACACACATAGAAACAGGGACAAACAGAAGGGATGGGTAAGAGTATGGGAGAAAGGAAACTGGATATAAAGAAGAATGAGAAAAGCAGATAGAAACAGTGAGTGGAGTAAGAAAGAGGAGAAACAGGAAAGATATGGAAGGGGGTGGGGGGGGGGGGGAGATTTTGCATGTGTTGGTTGAATTCTTTTTTTTTTTAATGAAAAACCTACGCTCCATTGATGGATAAAAGTACACAAGTTGAAGAATTAACTTTAACTTTTCATCTATTTGTTACTTCCTCCACAGCTTCTTCGGGACACATTTATATTCAAAGTTGTGCCCATGCTAAACCCAGACGGTGTCATCGTGGGAAACTATCGCTGCTCCTTAGCAGGAAGAGACCTCAACAGGAACTACAAAACTGTTCTAAAAGATGCTTATCCTTCCGTATGGCACACAAAAACTATGATACGCAAGTAAGGGTCTCAGTCCTTTTTATTTTATGCCCTTTACCCCATTTTCAATTGTTTTATTCTCCCTGTGTGGGTTCCGGGGCACCATTGTGGGGAGAACAAGAATACACCCACTGCCTTCCCAACAAGCATGTCGTAAGAGTAGACTAATTGGGGATTTCCTTCAAAATCAGAGTGCATGTGCCAGAGAGACAAGGAACCAACAGTCTACATACAATTAAGTCAAATATATTAAACGGATGTGTACATAACACTCAGGATCTGAAAGTAGACTAAAGTCCAGAGGTGGACAAACAACCAGAACTTTCCGCCAGAGTTTACAGCTGGTGAGAGCCAAGAAAAACAATGGTTTATTATATCACTGAAAATTAATAATTTGTCCCTTATGACATCAGTTGTTTCTCTCATAAACAGTGTCCTGTCTTGGAAACTGAAATACTTTGGCCATTAAGTTAGTTGCATATCCTGAACAGGACATTGCAGAACCAACCCTAGCATTTTGTGGCTTTTGTGGTTTTTCTAGGCAAATTTTAGGTTCATTAATTTGCCATTGCTCCCTGAACGGTCTGTGCTCAGTACCACTGTCGATGCAAACAAGTACGAAGATGGTTTCAGGTCATAAGAGGCACTTTGTGCAGAAGAGTGCATGAAGCTGGGGAGCCAGTGAGGGATCAAGATTCTTTCAGGCATGCTGTGATTAGAGCAATATTCTGTCAAAAACCTTTTGAAAGCATGATGATGATGATGATGATTAGCGTTTCTGTTTTTCTCTGACTGTTGCATTACCAAGTCCTTGAGAAAAAAAGAGGCATTTGAGCGGAAATGCTATAGAAAGATTCTCCGGATACCATGGACAAAGAAGAGAAGAAATACTGACATTCTAAAAGATCTGAACATCAGGAAGATTGGCTGATAAACAGCATCCTGTCTCCGAAGCTGATATATTTTGGTCATATCAAGCACCATGGTGAAGCTGAAAAAATAATAGAGGAAGGCATGGTACCAGGAAGGAGGGGCAGGGGCTGACCAACATGAAGATGGGCACAGGATACAAGTGACTCCTTGAATATGAAAGCACACAAGACGGGAGAGCTGGCGAGAGACCGATTTTCTTTCACGCAGACCATGATGAGAGCGAGGTTCTGCAAAGAACCTGCTACATGATGATGAAGATAATAATGTTGGATTACCACACAGGTTTATTTAGAAGTTACACACCATTTCCTTACCATTTCCAGATATTTATTAACATTGTTTTCTGTTTAATATTTATCATCAATCAACAGATCACTTTTGTCACAGCAGCTCTCTTTTTCTAAGCCAGTTCTCCAGCACTATGTGCTTTCATAGACAGTGCATCTTCAATATCTTGTAACCATTTTCATGGAGGTCTACCTCTGTATAATTTTCCAGAAACTGCACCCTCCATAACTGTTCTCTCCACCCACATGACGTCCTGTTCTCTCCACCCACATGACGTCCTGTTCTCTCCACCCACATGACGTCCTGTTCTCTCCACCCACATGACGTCCTGTTCTCTCCACCCACATGACGTCCTGTTCTCTCCACCCACATGACGTCCTGTTCTCTCCACCCACATGACGTCCTGTTCTCTCCACCCACATGACGTCCTGTTCTCTCCACCCACATGACGTCCTGTTCTCTCCACCCACATGACGTCCTGTTCTCTCCACCCACATGTCGTCCTGTTCTCTCCACCCACATGACGTCCTGTTCTCTCCACCCACATGACGTCCTGTTCTCTCCACCCACATGACGTCCTGTTCTCTCCACCCACATGACGTCCTGTTCTCTCCACCCACATGACATCCTGTTCTCTCCACCCACATGGCGTCCTGTTCTCTCCACCCACATGACGTCCTGTTCTCTCCACCCACATGATGTCCTGTTCTCTCCACCCACATGACGTCCTGTTCTCTCCACCCACATGACGTCCTGTTCTCTCCACCCACATGACGTCTTGTTTCTCTCCACCCACATGACGTCCCGTTCTCTCCACCCACATGACGTCCTGTTCTCTCCACCCACATGACGTCCTGTTCTCTCCACCCACATGACGTCCTGTTCTCTCCACCCACATGACGTCCTGTTCTCTCCACCCACATGACGTCCTGTTCTCTCCACCCACATGACGTCCTGTTCTCTCCACCCACATGACGTCCTGTTCTCTCCACCCACATAACGTCCTGTTCTCTCCACCCACATGACGTCCTGTTCTCTCCACCCACATGATGTCCTGTTCTCTCCAACCACATGATGTCCTGTTCTCTCCACCCACATGACGTCCTGTTCTCTTCACCCACATGACGTCCTGTTCTCTCCACCCACATGACGTCCTGTTCTCTCCACCCACATGATGTCCTGTTCTCTCCACCCACATGACGTCCTGTTCTCTCCACCCACATGACATCCTGTTCTCTCCACCCACATGATGTCCTGTTCTCTCCACCCACATGATGTCCTGTTCTCTCCACCCACATGATGTCCTGTTCTCTCCACCCACATGACATCCTGTTCTCTCCACCCACATGATGTCCTGTTCTCTCCACCCACATGACGTCCTGTTCTCTCCACCAACATGACGTCCTGTTCTCTCCACCCACATGACGTCCTGTTCTCTCCACCCACATGACGTCCTGTTCTCTCCACCCACATGATGTCCTGTTCTCTCCACCCACATGACGTCCTGTTCTCTCCACCCACATGACGTCCTGTTCTCTCCACCCACATGACGTCCTGTTCTCTCCACCCACATGACGTCCTGTTCTCTCCACCCACATGAGGTCTAACGTGGCCAAAATACATCAGCTTTCGGGACAGGATGTTGTTTATGAGCCAATTCTTCTAAATTCTCAGTCTATGTAGGTTGCCTGTGCTTTTCTTCTTGTTGGTCCATTAAATTTTATAAGAATTCTGCTTATATATATATAAATATATAAAGTTAGTTGCAAATCCTTTACAGGATGTTGCAGAACCAACCCCAGCATTTTTTGGCTGTTGTGGTTTTCCTAGGTAAGTTGACGTCCATTAGTTTGCTATTGCTTTCTGGACTTTGGCTTCACAATACCACTGTCAAAACCAATGCAAGGCCCGCAGCTGGGATCGAACCTGGCACCCTGGCATTACAAAGTGCGTTCGTAAAGCCTAAGAAACCCACAACCTTCCGATCCACACGTGAGCATCTAGCCGCCATGCCACTGTGACTCCCACATAAGCTCAGTGACATTTTTAACTTTTGACATTTATGTTTACAGATTACTTCAGGAGAGGGATATAATTGTATACTGTGACCTGCACGGCCACAGCAGACGGAACAATGTTTTCATCTATGGTTGTGAACAGCATCATGGTTCTGCCAAGAGATTTCATGAAAGGGTTTTCCCTTTCATGCTCAGTAAAAATACCCCAGAAAAGGTAAAGAAAAAACAATGATGTCCTTTGCTGTTCAATGTTTCGTTAAGAATCGATGTCACAGCACTCGGGACATTCCCATAAGTGCTCCATCTTCAGAAGCAAGTGCAGAGAAATACCAGAGAGATCGCCAGATGCAGTTTTTCTTTCTGGCTTTGTTCTATTCCAGTCCTCTGTCAGTTAGCTCCTCAGACCATAATGATCCATATGTGCTTCCACACTGTTCACTCCCCTCAAAGGGCCCTTCACTATCTAGCTGGTCATGTATCTCTGTGTGGGTGTGTCTGTTTATGTCTACTTATATGTGTCTGTGTGTGTGCCTGCATGTTTGTTTGTGTGTGTGTGCACCATGTTGTTTTTGCGTGTGTGTGTGTCTGCATGTGACTGTGTATGTATGTGAGTGTCTTCTGTATGTATGTGTGTCTGCAGGTATGTCTTTTTGTGTCTCTTTGTTTATATGTCTGTGTATGCATCTGTGTATATATGTCTGTGTGTATAAGTCTCTGTGTGTGGCTGCATGTGTGTCTGTGTGTCTACGTGTGTATGTTTGCCTGTTTGTCTGTGTGTTTGTGTGTATGTTTGTGTCTGCATGTGTTTGTGTGTGTGTGTCTGTTTTTGTGTGTGTGTATGTGTGTGTGTGCATGTGTTTGTGCATGTGTATGACTGTGTGTCTGCATTTGTATTTGTGTGTGTGTCTTTGTTGTGTTTGTGTGTGTCTGTGTGTGCCTCTGTGTGTGTGTGTCTGCATGCTGTCTGTGTGGGTCTCTGTGTGTATTTGTGTATGTCTGTGTGTATATGTCTGTGTGTGTTTGTCTCTGTGTGTGTCTGTGTGTGTGCATGTGTGTCTGCATGTGTGTGTCTATGTGTCTGTGTGTATGTATGTTTGTATTCGTGTGTATCTGTGTGTGTTTATGTTTATATACGTATTTGTCTGCATGTGTGTCTGTGGGTGTGTGTGTCTGTGTGTGTATATATCTGCTTGAGTATCAGCATGTGTGACTTTGTGTGTGTGTGTGTGTGTGTGTGTCTTTGTGTGTAAAAATAAAAACCTAACCTGCACAGTCTGTGGCAACAGCACTAGCTAGCCACATGGCCTTAAATCTTCAGATTTTAAACCCCTTTCCCCGACCATACTGCAGAAGTGGTATCAGCAGTAACTTGCAGTTTGATTTTGTGTGTATGTGTGTGTGTATGTGTGTGTGTATGTGTGTGTATGTGTGTGTATGTATGTATGTGTGTGTGTGTGTGTGGCAGTACTGTCGTTTACCTTGCCTACTGGCTCAACTCTTTCAGTCCCAAGCAACTCGTCTTGTGTTTGATGGTTTCTGCCCATATGCTTCAATTTTTTTTAAACTCCTGATGTCCCAGCCAGTTGTTACACCAACTAAATCTGCACCTACAGTTACTTTAACCCATTCTGTCACCTAGCATTTATGTCTTGATTACTTCAGATATAAATTTGTATCAGATAAATCGATAATTTCTTATGATATATGGAGTTAAAATAACATGTGCCTGGGACTGATAGAGTTAAAGGCCTTGGGTTTAGCTGAAAAAGATGGAGTTGAATAAAAATGGCTTGGCCTGATTTGTGGGGAAAAAAGAAATTGTAAAGTTCAGCCAGCATCCCAGTAGGGGGAGCTTTAGGTTATAATTGTAACTTGGCTATGTGCGCCATATAAAATGGCTTGGCATTGATCGCCACCGAGTAGCTTTGAAAAGAACTCTTGCAGTGTTGATGTGGTCAAAGAAAACAGACCCAAATACTGTCCTGACTGGCGACAAAGTTATCTCCTGGCCAGCCAATGGGTGAACAGGTTGGCGATGGGACAAAATTGATCCCGGTCAGCTTAACAAAAATGTGTGCCAGGAAATTCTCCTAGTTAGTAAAGATGGCCTGCATGATGTCAGTGAAATCATCCTCGAGTGTCTGTTGGTCTGTTGAGAGTACAGGTCTAGCTTCATATGCCAGGTGTGGCAGTGGCATTAAATGTGTCCTTTACTTTTTACTTCACTGTCATTTACTTTTAAATTTTTGGTTAAAATAGAGGAGATCAAAACTAAAAATGTTTTTCTCATTTTTCAGTTCTGCTTCAACTCGTGCAAGTTCAAAGTTCACAAGAGTAAAGAAAGCACTGGCAGAGTGGTCATGTGGAACCTGGGTGTCATGAACAGTTACACATTGGAGGTAAGGGGACTTTACTCTTTTCTTTTTTCTGTGTCTGAGAGGTTAGTTTAACAGTTTCACGATCCTTGAATATAATCATCATCATCAAGTGCCTGCCAAGTGACGCAGGATAGGGATGATCATCCCTATCCATAAATCTGTGATCTGCAACTGCCTGTATCAGTTTGTGTGCTGACACCCCTCCATGCCATGCCAAAAGGTTGTCAAGAAGCTTCTTTAGCTGTCTTTCTCTGGGTTTTTTCCACAGATCTTTACAGTGGTTAAATGTTCCAGTTTCCCTCTTCTCATAACATGACCAAAACAATGATGACTGTCTTTTTCTGGTGTTTATGCTGTTGTCTTCGAGTGCTCACCTCTTTCAGACCATCAGGGTTGCTCTTTTGGGGCTTTACCACATAATACTCCTAAAAACAGCAGTGGGTATGCTGTAGCCAATCTCGATTGTGGTGACAGTACATCATTTTTTCTTCAGCATTCTGGTCATTGTTCATTCTTTTGCACATCTTTTCTTACAGAGCTGGTTTATTTTCGCACAGAGGTTGGTTCCTTGCCAACTCTTACTTCAAAGAAAGCTTCCAATTAGTTGACTCTTGTGACAAGCTTGTTGGGGAGCCAATGGGTCTATTCTTGTTTTCCCTACAATAGGGTTCTGGAACCCATACAGAGAGTGTGTTGAAGGATGAAAGTTACATTTATAAGTGGGCTACAGATGAAAACCTTAATGGTAAAAAAAATTACAATAACCATGCTATTGTCTTGTAACAGGTCAGTTTTTTTTTGTTAAGGATGTCAAGCGTGTTGAGCACATACATCACAGTGCAGATGAACACAGTGATATAATGCTGAGATTTTAAAGATGGCCGCCCCACTTTTGCCATGCACCAACAACTAGCAGCGTATGAGTGGAGTAGGAAGTTTCAAAATGAAAAATGGACAGTCTGCCTCAGAAGCCACACCATTTTGAAGCCAAACTCAAAGCATGCACTTGTTTGACTGACAGGTATGAGTCACCATAGTGGACCTTCAATTTGCCAAGGGATTCACCCCTCCGCTGATCAAGAAACAGATAACAGAATGCTGCGTATCTTTGGTGCATGTCAAAAGTGGGAAGACCATCTTTAAGCTGTCATTATGTTGTCATATTAGTCTGCATGATTATCAGATTGAAGTTACACATAACAGTTTTTTTTTTCCATGCCCTCAGGCTTATAGGGCATATAGGGCTAGACCTATGTGAAGTTACATATGCAAGGATATATTTCTGTGTCACACATTTTTGTATGTACAGGCAACATTCTGTGGCTCCAGTCTGGGTAAAATGAAGGGGTATCACTTTAACCAGGGTGACTTTGAGATGATTGGATACCACTTCTGTGACACTCTGCTTGACTACTGTGATCCAGACATTACAAAGGTAAAATATGCATGGTCATATTCTGTCATGTCACTGTAAAAAAAATGCCAGCTGTTTCATTAGTATAACTTTAATGTCCTTGTACCTGAAGCAACATGAGTGGGTACCGGGTGCAGTCCTGGGAAGTAAAGGCAGCCAGCGTGATGCTGACCACATCACCCATCTTGTGCCGATTAGTCTATAAAATATAGGTCTAGCCCTATATGCCCTATACGCCTAAAGGCGTGGAAAAATCTCCTTTAGTTTACTTACTTACCTGAAGCAACAAAGCCAAAGAAATAAATTGACGTGAAAATCTATGGAGAAGAGAATTAAAGACAGAGATTGAGAGGAAAAGGACTGAACTTCACACAGTAACAAAAGAAAGGATAACTTGGCATGAGTTTGTTGAGGGCCTATATTCCATTGAGAGGAAAAGGACTGAACTTCACACAGTAACAAAAGAAAGGATAACTTGGCATGAGTTTGTTGGGGGCCTATATTCCATTGAGAGGAAAAGGACTGAACTTCACACAGTAACAAAAGAAAGGATAACTTGGCATGAGTTTGTTGAGGGCCTGTATTCCATTGAGAGGAAAAGACAATGACCAGGAAAGAAATAGGTTTACAGGTTTTGAGTTGGTTGTACCAAGAGCTGCTGAGAATAAGGGAAATGAAAGTATTTGAACAGATGAGTTCACCATGGATATGTATATTGACTGACATAATGAGACAGTAAATCTGACAATAATGAATGCTGAAATCATTTACCAGACCTTTTCTTTAGAGACATGTAACTCTGACCTTTGCTGTAGAGACATGTAACTCTGACCTTTGCTGTAGAGACATGTAACTCTAACCTTTGCTGTAGAGGCATGTAACTCTGACCTTTGAAGTAAAGACATGTAATTCTGACCTTTGCTGTAGAGACATGTAACTCTGACCTTTGCTGTAGAGACATGTAACTCTAACCTTTGCTGTAGAGACATGTAACTCTAACCATTGCTGTAGAGTCATGTAACTCTGACCTTCAATGTAAAGACATGTAACTCTAACCTTTGCCGTAGAGGCATGTAACTCTAACCATTGCTGTAGAGACATGTAACTCTGACCTTCAATGTAAAGACATGTAACTCTGACCTTTGCTGTAGAGACATGGAACTCTGACCTTTGCTTAGAGACATGTAACTCTAACCTTTGCTGTAGAGACATACAACTCTAACCTTTGCTGTAGAGACATATAACTCTGACCTTTGCTTAGAGACATGTAACTCTGACCTCTGCTAAGAGACAGGTAACTCTGACCTTTGCTTAGAGACAAGTAACGCTGACCTTTGCTTAGAGACATGTAACTCTGACCTTTGCTTAGATACATGTAACTCTGACCTTTGCTTAGAGACATGTAACTCTAACCTTTGCTGTAGAGACATGTAATTCTGACCTTTGCTTAGAGACATGTAACTCTAACCTTTGCTTAGAGACATGTAACTCTAACCTTTGCTGTAGAGACATGTAACTCTGACCTTTGCTGTAAAGACATGTAACTCTGACCATTGCTGTAGAGACATGTAACTCTGACCTTTGCTGTAGAGACATGTAACTCTGACCTTTGCTGTAAAAACATGCAACTCTGACCTTTGCTGTAGAGACATGTAACTCTGACCTTTGCTTAGAGACATGTAACTCTGACCTTTGCTGTAGAAACATGCAACTCTGACCTTTGCTTAGAGACATGCAACTCTGACCTTTGCTGTACAGACATGCAACTCTGACCTTTGCTGTAGAAACATGCAACTCTGACCTTTGCTGTAGAGACATGCAACTCTGACCTTTGCTGTAGAAACATGCAACTCTGACCTTTGCTGTAGAGACATGTAACTCTGACCTTTGCTGTAGAAACATGCAACTCTAACCTTTGCTGTAGAGACATGTAACTCTGACCTTTGCTGTAGAGGCATGTTAAACTAATAATTCGGATGCAAAGGGTTAATATAACAACTGTGTGTGGGACAGAAGACGGCTGAAACATTTTATCTTTAGTTGGACAATGAATGTAGGGTGCATTGTTTGGTACTGAAAATTAACGGTTTATGAAAACCATGATGGAAAATGAGATTAGTGAGTCAGGTGAAAAAAAAAAATAGGTAAGGCACTTGGTGAGTTCATGCAGTAGCAAACAACAGGATGACTTAGCAAGAGTTGGTTGAGAGCCTATGCTTGACTCAGGGATTAAAGATAGAAGACAATGATGCCAGTGGCTAAATCTTCAGTCACTAATTGCAGTTTCACTTGCAAGTTTACTGTTTGTATACCACTTGCTTCTGTCCGATCTTTCACCAACCTGCATTGACATCTCTGCTGAATGTTACCTATGGATTCCTGACATTTTCTGGTAAATGAGATATTTTATTCAAGAATAAATAGCAAACTATTCACTAAAAGAAACGCATAGTTAGCTGATGGAGCATTTTCTAAGTCAACAGGAAAACTTGTATGCCTAAAAACTATTTAGCCCCAGATGCAAAATAACTGTCAATTGATTTACTGAACCCTAATGTATTCTTGTGTGCAATTTGAACTATTTCGACCCTTAAATTACACAGACTTTGAATGTTAAAATTATGACAAAATTATGTTTCTTATAATAACTATGCATTTCTATTTTTGAGTAGTAAATATTGGATATGTTCCCATCTGTTTCCTTGTTGCGTCTGTTCATTCCGACATTATTTCAGATATGTTATTTAATTAGTTCCCTTTGTAATCATGTGATAAATGACATTTGTTTACTGATATGTCCCTCTATATAGTATGCATTTGTGTGAACGTGTGTGTTTGCACACATCTGCCAATGAATAAGTAGTATAGATACTGAAACATCTCTAGTTGAGACTTTGTTTTTTCAGTGTAATAATATCATTAGCTGGCCTGGTTTTATTTGCTTTTCCCCATTGTGTTGTTAAACAAATCAAGAAATCTGTTAATGTCATTGGTGCATTAGGCATAAGATGTTTGACCAATAGTTTTATAGATGAATCGGTGAAAAATGTGGTCAGTATCACGCCAGCTTCAGGTCAGGTCCTGGTCAGATATGACTGAGCTACCGTATAACAGTAGCCGGTACCACCTGTCTTCTGTTACGCCGAATGTTGGGCGGTGTATACTAACCCAACATCCCATATTGTGCCAACGGCTTCGGGCGGAGGAGCGCATTGGGGCACTGTTGTTGTGTATATAAGTTGACCTATATTTGATTGGGCAAGCAACATGACCAACTAGGCGCCCGTAAAAAGTTGTCTTCATTAGCCATGTCTTTTGTACTATTTAAATTCACAGCTATAGAATATCGACATAATTCATCTCAACCTACTAAAATGGCACTAAAGGTTACATAAATTTATATTAATCATATATAGGTGGAGTAATAAACACAACAATTATAAACACACTGGAACAGCTATTTTTTTAATTCTCCAAGACTTTTCCTTGTACCAGTTTTAACCAAGAAAATAAGGTCAATTATTAAAAAACAAAACTACTTTGATGTAGATTTAAGCTAAGGTTGAATTTAGAAGATTAGGTGAATTATTTTTAAAAAAGTATGCTTTGATTTGGAAATAAACCCATTAACTCTTTGAGTCCCAGGGGGTTTAGCATCAGAGGCCCAAGGGGTAGTCAAAAGAGATGTAAAATCGGCGCATCTTGCGTTCATTGGGCCTCTAGGCGGTAACCTATGAACGTATGATGCGCTCCTTGGGACTCAAAGAGTTAAGTTGTATGGAAGATCAGTTTTGCTGTATATTAACTGTTTTCATCCCAGGAAATTATTATTTGAAATAATTAATTTCTGTCTTAAATGGTGTTAGTATTCTGTGCTATATTCTTAAATGTTAACCTCTGACTGGGAATCCTGGATAATTATTAAGCAAGCCAAACAATTTCTTAATGGAGCATTGGTTTTACAGATAAATGTTTACAGTTCCTTGAACAGACAAAATGAGTTAATCCAGATGTTTTGAAAGAGACAAGGATCCACAGATAACTTATCACAAATATTAGAAAGAGAAGGTCATAATATTTTGAGAAGAAAGAAATTGGAACATGTTGTGACAACTGGAAACATCTGTGGAAAGAGAGACAGAAGATGACAAGACATATTTTTTTAAAGCCTTTTATTTTTTCATGGCATTGAAGAGTGTGCAGCACATGAGTTGACAGATGTTACTAGAGGCTGTTTGTTCTGGAGGAGCGTGATTGCTTATGCCAGTCAGCAAGGCACTTGATGATGGTAATATATGTGTATCTCTAAATTGAAATAAGAAAGAAAGTTCTTAAGAGCTGCACTGAGCTAATCCTGAAGTAGGGAAAGGAATCATAGGCAAATAGGATAGTGACAAATTATGTGGACAATTCAGAGATATCATTTCATAGAAGAATGAGAAGGCTAAGGGCAGATAACAAGCATTATGAAGATATCTTGAGATAAGTAATTTTACAAAGAGAAATGGAGCATGTATGTATATTTGTGCTGATACATGTAAATATGTGTGTAAATATGTTTGTAAATATGTGTACAATCCCATGTAATATTTGAAAACAGCTGACCTGCTTTAGTCAGTATAAAATGTTTCATATTGTCATTATATAGTGCTCTTTTTCCATATTACACGTCGGAAATTAATTTAATTTTATGTATAAATTTGTATGTACGAGGTTGACTGTAAAACTCAGTTACTCACCTGAAAGTCTGAAACAAACATTTCTTTTAACAATTCTTTTAAATTCTGACTTGCTACGGTTCATAGTAATCCTCAGGCAGTTTGAAAGAATACCATTTTGCCATTCTATAACAGTATGAAAATAAAACCATTCAGAAAGCAATGGCAAACTACTGAATGTAAAATTGCCTGGTAAAACTGCAAACATCCAACAAGTTCTTGTATTGGCTAGCAGTGCCATGTGAAGTTGATATTTTGATACACAGTTGATATTTTTAAAGCAGTCTTCTTGGGGACTGCACATTCTTCTCCTATTTATCCATCTTTGTTGGAAGCATTTACAGAAAGATCTCTTTTTGAGTGGAGTATAGCTTGGATGTTGGGTTCTGCATTATGTCTTCCTGTGACTTCCAAAGGTCATGCCTGTGGCATTTTCAGCCTGGAACAGCTGTCATTTTCAAACAGCCTTGTTGAGAGAGTACTGAGTCTGATAACCAGAGGAGTAATATAGTTTGCCTAGACATTTTTTTGAAGATTTTATAAATTCAAAATTATACTTAGGATAAAAAAATAATAATATATTTCAGAAATGTTTGTTGCAAATCTAAACTGTTATTATAAAATAATTATACAATGGATGTACACATGTAGCATACTAATATGTTTAGAAATGTTTACAATTTTGATGTGAGTGCCATTTGTAGCTCTGGTGATTTCTAGATGGTATTCAATCTCCTGCCATATTTGAATCATGTTCAGAGTTACAGTGGCAGTTGCAGCAGTGGCCTTCTCTTTAAGGTGCTGGATGGTCCTTCTGCACTGTTTTAAGCCTCACAGTCACTCAAAACTAAACTTTTCTGAATATTTAAGACACACACATGTTTGTCCATTAAATACTTCTTTAATAATAACAGTTTAACATCCTGGCAATCATTCTTAATGACCCTGTATAAAGAGATAAAATGTTAGTTGCAGAACCAACCCCAACAGCCCCTGACTGTTGTGTGGTATTTCTAGGTAAATTTACGTCCAGTAGTTTGCCATTGCTTTCTGGACGGTTGGCTTTCTCGATAACACTGTCGAAACCAATGCAAGGCACATGGCCTGCAGCTAGGATCGAGCCCGGCATCCCGGCATTATGAAGCGTTCGCATTGACTTAGCTACAGAGCCGACAAAGAGAAAAAACAACATTAAAATATGCATTGTGAAATGTTATGTATTCTCAACCCTACTGTAAGGTGTAAAACCTGGACAGGAAACAGCCAGTAAGATAATCGCCTGAGGCCCTGAAGTTAGGGTACACATCAAGTAAACATACCACTTTGTCATTCCAGTTTTGTGACATGCCAGTAAACATACACTTTAGTAGTTTCCCTTTGCTTAATTTTCTGTATAATATTAAATAAAATTATTATGCATGTTGGCACATTAGGGCAAACAGTTAAGCCTAAAAAAACAACACTGACAACTAAACTTTATGAGCCAGTGACTGAACTGAAAAAAAAAGAAGAAAAAGACAGTTAAATTCATACACTGTACACATAGACTTTTTATTTCAAGCAAAGAAAACAAGAACACAATTTTGCATAATTATTGACTTTACTATTTTAAGTTCTTGAACATTCTCCACTGCTTGGAGGAGAAGCATCACCTGGATGTGATTGCAAAGCTGGCACGGAAAGGTCTTCAGCAAGACAGCGGGGTTATCAGCGATGTATCAACGGATACAGAATCCAGGTTAGCTAATCACTCTACATTTTGTATTTTAAGAATGTAGCTCACACTTTCAGTCACTGAAGAAATTTTAGTAGATACCTTACTTACTTACTTAGTCGCTCCTCTTCTACCTTGGGGTGTAGAGGTTTGCCAGAGAGATCGCCAGACGTCTCTATCAGCAGTTTTCTTTCTGGCTTTGTTCCATTCCAGTCCTCTGTCAGTTAGGGACTGTCGGATGTTGTCTTCTCAGCGCACCCTGGGTCGTCCCGGAGGTCTGGTTCCCTGGTTCTTAGCCTCCCATGCTTGCCATGGTGGCCGATTTTCTCCCATTCTGCATACATGTCCAAACCATCGTAACTGTGACTGATCTACTCGGGTTAGTAAGGGCTGGGTATCCAGATCTTGACGTATTGTCTGATTGCGGACTTTGTCCCTTCTTGTCACTTGGACCACCTTTCTCAGGTATCTCATTTCCTTAGTAGATACCTACGCAGAGGAATCGGGGTAGACAATAACTATAATGTATAAAGAAGAATAAAATAAAACCTCACTAACTGTGACCAGAAAGCTAAACAGAAGGAATGTTGGGTGTTGAACTAAGAACTGAAATCACAGCACTCAAGATGTTCTAATAAGCAATCAGTCTTCATCTACAGCAGCCAGCAAACAGCTCCAATTCCAGTGGTGCCAGTAGCAGTTTGATTGTGTGTCCTCTTGCCTTTTTTCTCCATGTAAAATGTTGACCATATCTCCGGGTCACACCTAGTGTAAACCATGACTACATCTGCTTGTCATGTGTAAATTCACCACCCATTGGTGCAAAACGAGCCAGTTTGTCTGCCTGTTCATTTCCTAACACTCCTGCACACCCTGTGGTAAATATCTAAAGAACACTAACTACCCAGCACATCTAAAACGATGCTTGCCACTCTACAGAGTGCATGCCTGTCTCCACTTTTTTTTAAACATGCTTTGTGAGTCGGGGTACAGTCATGACATGTGTGTGTGCAGTTGGTTCTCAAGCTTGCCTCTTTAGGATGATGCAGTTTCTTCTTTTTCTTCTTCTTCTTCTTCTTCCTCTTCTTCATTTTCTTCTTCTTCTGCTTCCTCTTCCTCATTTTCTTCTTCTTTTTCTTCTTTATCTATTTCTTCTTCCTCTTCTTCTTCTTTTTCTTCACATTCACCGGCTGTAAACTCCTGTGGAAAGTTCTGGTTGGTCATGAGTTTCTTTAAGGTGGGTTGTGATAAGAGAGATGTTCTGTACAGCAGTTTTATACAACCTGTAGGCCACCGCCCACTCGTGGGCTGTAGAAAAGTCCTGGTGGGCTGTAGAAAAGTCCTGGTGGGCTGTAAAAAAGTCCTGGTGGGCTGTAGAAACATCCTGGTGGGCTGTAGAAAAGTCCTGGTGGGCTGTAGAAAAGTCCTAGTGGGCTGTAGAAAAGTCCTGGTGGGCTGTAGAAAAGTCCTGGTGGGCTGTAGAAACATCCTCGTGGGCTGTAGAAAAGTCCTGGTGGGCTGTAGAAAAGTCCTGGTGGGCTGTAGAAACATCCTGGTGGGCTGTAGAAAAGTCATGGTGGGCTGTAGAAACATTCTGGTGGGCTGTAGAAAAGTCATAGTGGGCTGTATAAAAGTCCTGATGGGCTGTAGAAAAGTCCTGGTGGGCTGTAGAAAAGTCATGGCGGGCTGTAGAAACGCCCTGGTGTGCTGCCAGTCATTTCTTTTTAATCATATAACAATAAAAGAATATTAATCTTTGCCTAATCAGCCATGTCAGTAATAGCAACCAAATAAAGAAATCTAGAGGATGTTTTCACTATGCTTTGTATATCAGAAACAACGCTCTAGTCATGTAAATCAGATTTTCTAACTTTTAAGCAGCAGTAGCAGGACATCTTGCATGTGATTGAGACGTTTTTCCATAGGGTTGTTATGGGAGCAAGGTTCTGCAAAGGACATGCTATTGACTGACTGAAGCAGCAGTAGATTTTGCATTAATCACAAATTGTAATGTTGTGACCTTGTGTGTCTTGTGTAGTAGCTATCATTTACACCGCTGCTGGCTTGCTAGGCTTTTTACAGCAGAACATCTGGGAGGAAGGCAAGAGGAAGACGAAGAAAGAGACGGATAAATGGTGTAGTCGAAACCTGCAAAAAGGGGAGTAAATCCATCACCCAAGCCACCCTAGAAGCACAAGACAAATACAGAAGACCACAACACTGGACTACAACCTGGTATCGAATACAAAAGAAGAACCTGGATTTAACCAATCAACAGCTGTCTAAATTTGTTTTTTTTTGGTTTCTGTGTTTAGTTGGCTGTCAGAAGGGGTGTGAAACAGTTTCCCCATTTTGTAGGCCCTAGGTGAAAAAAAAAAAGTTGAGTAACACTGGTGTAAAGGTCCTGCTAAATCAGGGGTTCTCAACCTTCCTAATGCCGCGACCCTTTAATACACTTCCTCATGTTGTGGTGACCTCCAACCATAAAATTATTTTCGTTGCTACTTCATAACTTCAGTATATGGTTTTTGATTAACTTAGGCGACCCCTATGAAAGGGTTGTTTAACCCCCGAAAGGGGTCACAACCCAGAGGTTGAAAACCATTGTGCTACTTGATAATGACTCTCATACTTTCAGTAAAATCAGTGGAAGTGACTTACATAGAATCTTACAGAGAAGCTTTGTATTACTTGGAAATACCCATCTGTTTCATAGTCATTTGTGTACCCGTTACAGTGATGGTGGCTCCGACAGTTCAGCTTCAGACGGACCTCCTGTACATTTACAGTTTTCTGCAGTAAGGGTATGTTACTGAATATTCACTTGTTTTGCTTATATTACTTGGAGGGGGGCTGCAAGGTTTTGAGGCATGGTGTCCGCCTCGAGTGCTAGAGGTCCTGGGTTCAAGCCCCGGTGAAGGCTGGGATTTTTTCACCTGGATTTCTAGTAATTTCGTCTCTAGGTAGTAAGATCAGACGCCCATGTGTATTCTTGCGCACATTAAAAAAATCCATAGGCAGTCGGAAATTTAAAAAAGTGGCCTAAATGCGCTGCCCGGGCAAAATTTTGAGTTAAAAATCTACCCAGTGTATTTCAGGATGCTGGCCAGTACTACAGAGCCTGTGCACTGAGCTGCAAATTCTTTGGACTCAGGCTTGAGTTAGAAGAAGATCGAAGCACTTATGGGTTACAACTGTGTGCCGTGCTGTTGATCCATTGAATAAACAAACAAACAAAATAAACAAACAAACTTAAATTACTTGATTACTTAATGTGAGAAGTGGCTGGCCACTTGGTTAATGCAGGTATGCAGGAAGCCTAGGTTCAAATCCTTGGTAAGTGGATTGACATATTTTTTGACAGAGACAAAGAATACAAATCCCAACCTGCACAGTTTGTAACAAGTGAACTAGCTAAGCAGCCATAAAACCTCAAAATCACCACACCCCCCCCCCCCCCACCCCTGTTCTATACACCCTAAGCCAAAAAGCAATAAATGTGTGTGTGAGTGTGTGCGTGCGTGCATGCGTGTATTATGCATGTGTGTATGTTTGTGTGTGTTTGTATGTATGTATGTATGTATATGTGCGTTTGTAGGTACGCATGTACATATGTGTGTGTGTGCATGTATGTTGATGTATGTATGTATTGGGTGTATATGTGTTTGGGTTTGAGTGTGTATGTGGGTGTGTGTGTTCACGCGCGAGCGTGAGCACATATTTTACCACCCATGCTTTTGTTTTTTACTTGATATTCATAATTTGCATATTATTACATGAACATAACATGCTTTATTGATGAAATACAACTGCTGTGTGAAAGATGGGAGTTTGGAAGGGCCAAATGTAAGATAGGCCTGTGTGCCTAAATTGTGACCCTTTGATAATAAAGTTTGTTCGTTCGTTCATTTACCACCCAGTTATGCAGCACAACCCAATTATCAAAAAACAGTCAAAGAACACAGAAGTGGTGTCATAAGTTGCTGTATGTTAGAGGTGTCTACTGAAGAGGGGATCCAAGCAGTTATGGACTGCATTGTTGGATGTACAGCTGATGGTCTGGGACAGGCAGCAGTTCTCAACCTGGAGGTCAAACGACCCTTTCACAGAGATCATTGAAAACCAATTACTCACTGAATTTATGAAGTAACAACATGAGGAACTGTGTTAAAGGGTCACTGCATTAGGAAGTTTGAGAACCACTGTATTAGAGAAATAAGAAGCAGACAGTCTGTTTGTTTTGGTTTTTTTTTTTTTTGGGTTGGACATGTGAAAAGGAACGAACTTGAGAACTTGGTGATTACAGGCAAGATTGAAGGGAAAAGAGCAAGAGGAGGACAAAGAGATAAATACCTTAATTGCTAAGCCATTTGGATGGGGTGTGATGAAAGCAAAGATCTGATCTGTGATTCTGGTAATCATGTGTGATGTTAAAACATGACTGCCTACGCTTGTCAGCTCAGCACATAGTGATCACAATTTATAATGTCTGCATCATAAATAAATGAAAAACACACACACTTGCGCACACACACACACGTACACACTCACATGCACACACATATGCACGCGCACATACACTATAATTAAAAAAGCGTTGTCTATTAATTCTGCAGCCGAAGAGAAAGAAGCTTAAAAGTAAAAAGGACAGAAACAAAGTGCCAAAAGAGAAAGACGATCAAAAGAAGGAAGTCTCTGAACAGGTAACACACTTTTGTAAATAAAAAATAACACTTAAGAAATGCAACATTTTTTTACAGTCACGAAAAATCTTAATGTATGTAATATCTACTTCACGTTTTGGGAAAATTTGTAGGACGCAAAAATGCTAATTTATTTCTTATATTGAATTGCTGTGTGGGAGTCACAGTAGCAGTGACCAGAATATTAGCCTGCTGACCCAACTGACAAATGTTCAAATCCCCAGCAAAGTGGATTAGTGGATTTTTAATCGACTTGGCCTCCCAGGTCAACCCAGCCTAAACATGGGCACTGTAACACATTATGGTAAGTAGGGCGGCTGACGAGAAGATATTTGGATATTTTTGGAACCAAAGTACAGTGGTATTTCAGTATACGTTTGCTTTCTAATATGTCCAACTTGGTATAAGTCCTGTTAAAACTTGAAAATTGTTGCTTGGTATACAACTTTTGTTTGGAATACAACTTGTGTGCTAAAAATTGTATGAGAAAATAGACAGAAAGAAAGAAAGAGGAAAAATACCAGAATTTCAGATTCTTGAAGTTTTATTGGAAGGGAACTCTCGTTCCAGACAATAACAGAAATAGGATTTCTTTTAAACATGGGAATGGATTCATGATTATCCATTTATTTCCTATCCCATTCAGCACATTGTTATTATTATTGTTATATTTATTATTGCATACCTCTTCTTCTTCTTCGCGTTCACCAGCTGTACACTCTGGCGGAAAGTTCTGGTTGTTCGTCCACACCTGGGCTGCAGTCCTGCTCCAGAACCTGGGTGTTGCGTGTGCAACAGTTTTACAGATCTGATTCACTTGAATGCAGACTGTTGGTTCCTTGCCTCTCAGGCAGATGCACTCCAACTTCAAAGGAAGCTACCAATTAGTCGACTCTTACGACATGCTTTTTGGTAGGCAGTGGGTCTATTCTTGTTTTCCCCCCACAATGGGGCCCCGGATCCCACACGGGGATATTGCATACTTAAACAAGGCTCCCTTGAGCTCCCCTTTCCCAGAAAATTGTTAAGGTACTGTAACCCCCAGTGTTTTATTTGTATCAGGGCCGTGGCTAGAGGTAGAGACTAGCAGATATGTTGACTCAAATGTACACAGGATTCTCACCTCTTTTTACCTCAGGATTGGTCTCTGAGGATCTGGAACAGATTAAGGATGTATACCAAAATACCGCTGTATCTCCTAAGGTGTACTAGACTGTGGAAGGGTGGTTAAAATCTTTGCCTTATGTTCTGAACGTTGTGAGTTCAATGTCAAACTGTTCTTTGATTCATGAGAAGATCATCCCCTGAGTTACTGATTCACGTCTTCTCCTTTGCGTAGACCAGCTGTTGACTCCGGTGGAAAGATTCAGTTGTTTGTCCACTTCTTCTGGACTTTGGTCTTGCTCTGGAACTTGAGCTTTGCTTGCACATTGGTTACCCAGATCTGTTATGTAGATTATTTGTATGCTGACTGTTGGTGCTTGCCTCTTAGGTGTATGCACTCCAACTTGGAATGGAAAAAAAACCTAATTAGTCAACTTGTACAACATGCTTGTTATGTTGGCAGTGTGTCTATTATTTTCCCGCCAAATTGGAGTCACAGAACGCACACAGGGGCTGAGTTTCATAAAATGAGTGAGGTTCTCTATGGGTAAACATGCACTCAGGAAAGAGAGATTGAGCCAGATAGGATACAACCTGGTGCAGTGAATTGATTTCTGTCACCTTGACATTTCTTCTTCTTCTCTTCTTCTTCTTCTTCTTCTTCTTCTTCTTCTTCTTCTTCTTCTTCTTCTTCTTCTTCTTCTTCTTCTTCTTCTTCTTCTTCTTATGTATGTATGTGTGTATGTATATATGCGTGTGTATGTACGCCTGTACATATGTGTGTGTGTGTGCATGTTCATATTATGGGGATGTATGTGTGTATTTGGTGCCTGTGTGTGTGTGAGTGAATGGGTTTGCGTATGTATGTGGGTGTGTGTGTTTGCATGTGAGCGTGTGCACATATTTTACCACCCATGCTTTTGTTTTTGACTTGATATTCATAATATGCATATTATTACATGAACATAACATGCTTTATTGATGAAATACAACGGCTGTGTGAAAGATGGGAGTTTGGAAGGGTGAATGTAAGAGAGGCCTGGGTGCCTAATTTGTGACCCTTTTAAAATAAAGTTTGTTCGTTTGTTCGTTCTTCTTCTTTGTGTTCGGTTTTGTTTGCTCAGATCAGACCATCAGGTGGGTTGCCTCTATGAACTTGTGTGTCAGCAACAGGTCCTTCATGGTTCCCCATAGCTTGCTCTGCACACTTTGCTCTTGAGGCCAGGTTTCTTTTCAAAGTTGAAGGTAGAGTGGGCAGGTCCAAGCTTGACACTGATAGCATAATATTTAGTCAAAAAAGTAGTTCTTATTAGATTATATATTATATTATATGTTAAGTTAGTTGCCTATCCTTTACAGGACATTGCAGAACCGATGCAGTATTTTTTTGACTGTTGTGGTTATTCTACACAAATTTACGTCCATTAGTTTGCCATTGCTTTCTGTATGGTCAACTTCTCGATACCACTGTCAAAACCACCGCAAGGCGCAAGACTTGCAGCTGGGATTTAATCTGGCACCCCGGCATTACTATGAAGTTTTATTTGTTGGGACACCAAGAAGCGTGTTTGCATAGCCTAAGCTACAGACTCCAACAATATTGCATGTATATTTGCATTTATGGTCAAGATGCATGAAGAAAATGCCAAATCCTTTTATGCCATTGGTTTATGATGTATATGGTGCTAGACCTGCATTCTTATTACCAGTCGCAGCTCAGCATCACATCTGCCGCCTTTACTTCCCAAGTTGTGTAGTATAAGTGTATATTTGTTTTATTCCATGGATACTAATAATTACTGTTTAATTTATCACTTAGCAGGATGATAAAAGGGTGAAAAATAATCAGAGGAAAGAAGGAAAACAGGAGTTTATCAAGGTAATAATATGCTACACCATTTTCTTTATAAATGCTGTTTTGGTAATCTGGTAATCTTAGTTTCATCTTCATAGCAAATGGGTCACCCCATAGTTGCTCTGCTCCTGTGCCAACAAAAAACACACAGAAGGTTCATCACAGTCCTTTGCAGAAAGATTGACAGACTGCTGTCTCAGCATATCTAGCATACACACACATTAAAAGCATACAGTAGCCATCAAAAGTGCTAACACAAACAGTTTGACAAAATGCTGTTTTATAATGTGTTATTGATTCCTAACTGGAAGTGAGAACTTTCATAAAATTGTTGGTGGTTCTTACAGAGACCCCATCACAAATGATGAAGTTCACCACATCATCACTCAACACAATGGCAACTTTGAATCTCTTTTGACAACATTGAAAAGACAGAAAAAATGCAATAGTATGGGCGTGTAACAAGATCTGCTGACCTCAGTAGAGGGGAATAGGTGAAGAAGTGCCCCCCCCCCCTACCCCCCCCCCCCCCCCCAAAAAAAAAAACTGGATATAGAATTTGCCTGACTGGACATGTTTCAAACATGTGAACATCAAGTCTATTGCCTCCGACCAACAGTGCTGGAGGAAGCTGATCAGTCAACCGTAACTGGTGACCCTAGCAGTACACAATGTAATATGACTATAGTCATTAGTTAGCAAAGGTTCCCTGCAGACAGTCCACCCCCCCCCCACCCCCACCCCATCTGCTCTGTTACTTTACCAGTGGAAAATCTTTTCAGTCCCAGCAAAACGTCGCAATCACATGAAGTAAAAAAAAAATATGCAGGACAGCTGTCTGGAGTGCCAACACTAATGGTCCCACACCAGAATCACAGCTCAGTGTCAAAGCAGATGGTCAATCATGAATACTGGCATTGCACTGCAAACGTATACATTGTTCTGAACCTAATACCTGCCATGGTAATGCAGTCAACCATATGCCATGGGCATAACGGAAAATAACATTTTACTTGAAATCCACATAAAATATTATGGGAATATGATGATGAAAAATGACTCTTTGAAATTTATGAAAGTAGATCAAGTAAATAAAGACTTAGCCTTCTGGATAAGTTTAGAAAAGCTACCTTACATTATAGATGTTGTGCAGAGGCAATGAGTCTAACTACAGATTGGAAAGAGCCTTGAATCAAATTATAGATTATTTTTTCAACAGAAGGTCAAAGAAAGCAAGTTTGATTTCCAGCAAGTAAATGCTATACCTTTCTTGTTTACTCAAAAGTGACTGAAGAGGTTCTGTGTTATATTTACATTTCTGAAAAAGAAAATTAAAAAAAAAAAAAAACTAGTTGGAAATTATAAATAAATAGAGAATATTTATAAATAAATAGATCTGGAGTGGAAACAACTATTATGAACAATCATGAGTGGATGATTTCGAAAGAAGGCTGAAAACACAGCAGGAATTACCACAACTCAAGTCGGATTTATTAGTAAATGAGAGAACATATAATTGATATCTGGAATTTACATACATAAACTGGGAGGCAAGGTAGGCGGGGGAGGGGGTGGGGGGGGGGGGAGCGGCTGAAATACATCCCAGAAATGTAAAGTCAGAATTGAAGAGAGGCAGAAGAAAATGAAGAGAAAAGATTTTGGACAGTTTGGCATCCTAACATGGAGAATCATATGTCAGAAAGGTGACGCTGGTTTCTACATCAGCCTCATCAAACAGTAGGAATATTTCTCTACAAGAGGGTGTCTACATGCATCTTACTGTCAGATATCTCCTCTTCAGTCTTTACATTTACTTGTTTCTCCACCTAGCTCTTATTCTCTTTACCAGACCTTCTCCTAATCAAATGATGAAAAAGAAATAGTGGAAACTAAATAGTTAATGAACTTAATGCGACAAGGAAACAAAATTTGGGAGAAAACCTTTAGAAGTTATATTAATTAATAAATTGACACACACACACACAAAAACTATATGTGTATATATATATATATATATATATATATATATATATATATATAAATATATATATATATATATATATATATATATATATATATATATATATATATATATATATATATATATTATATATATATATATACATACGCAACTAACATTTATATATATATATATATATATATATATATATATATATATATATATATATATATATATATATATATATATATATATATATATATATATATATATATATACATATCAACTTTATTAAATAAATATCTGTGGCGCGGTGATTTCGGTCACAGGCATGAGGGGAAGTTAAGTCTGTGATGTGTATAAGGAGATATTCCGTACCCCACTCGGGCGCCAGTTCTTCACTGTTCTGGTTTTACGGAACCTCATGCAAGACTCCTGTTGCACGTCCCCGTCGTGCGCCACGGATAATGTCTCAAATGAGCATTAACAGAGTTGGCAGGGGATCTCGGAGCTGGCGGCCCCCAGAGGTGTAGAGTCCTTTCTGGCTCTCACCAGCCCACCCCCAAACGCATGGGTGAAAAGTAACAAAACTCAAGGACTGCTTGCTAAATGTACCATCAAATGACAACTCTTGGTTAAAATTCGGGAGCGAATGGAAAACTGTGCTGCTGAGACTCAACCCTGACCGAGAGATTTACCCGCAGCCAAGACGAGTAACATCTCTTGTGGGCGACTTCTCGCAGCAAGATCCTACCTACGTACATCCTCTGTCAATCCTCAGTGTCGTCGTCACCGCGCTGAGATACACCATGGCAGCAACTATTCATATGCTCGCTTGAAAACAATGTCCGACAAAGTTACACCCCACGGCACACATGCAAGCTCAAAGTCCGACGATCATAACTCGTACCGATTAGGAAAAGTCTGAATGTCCGTATCCACTGGTCCGACTCGCCCGAGTGTTGGGACCAAACAGGTGAAGCCACGCCTGACGCATTTTGCTTCCTCATTCTGTCGTGCTAAGGGCACAGCTGAAACAACGTTAAAGGTGTCTAACGTAAGATGAAAAAGAATGTACCTATTTGTGTGGCCACAAACGTCCCAGACCTGCGGGCTGCTCCCTGCTGATCTCCGAGAGCGCAGCCTTGTAGCGCGGGAAGCTCAATACACGGTTGTGAGGTTAAGCAGTCATGGGCAGGACGTGACGATTCCTTGGGTGAGCCCAGAACCAGAGCATCATGTGTCGGCTCTGCATTTATGGAAGTCTCCTTGGATGGCGGGGAATGCCCATGATCTGCCCCTGCCTTCCCTTGAGGGCTGAAATCTCTACATAGAGCTGCCTTAAGGACGACATGCCGGGGGCCACACTTGTTAAAAGTCAAAGAGGACACCACACAAATAAGGCAACATCTCGACCCACACAAAACAATGGCCACAGTCAACCTAGAAATAGGCTTGACGTCTTCCTCCGAAGTCGGAGTACATCTGCCAGAGAGGCGGGGAACGAGTACTGCAAACAAATAAGCCAGTAAAACGGATGTACACTCAAAACTCAGGTCAAGGTAAAAGCCAAAAGTCCATTTTGGACGAACAACCGTGACTTACCGCCGGAATTCACAGCCGGTGAACAAGAAGAAGAAGAAGAAGAAGAAGAAAATAAATATCTGACATGCAACAAAGGACGACAGTTAGTAATTATACAAGTAAAAGTTATTTTAGATAAGTAGCTGTACCCGGCCAAGCATTGCTGTGGCCCAGAATGGTGAAATGGAGAAGAAAGAAAATAGCTCTCAGCTAACAGTGTCTGTCATATCCCCCCCCCCCCCCCCCCCCCCCCCGAAGGATAAAAAAATGAAGGGTGGAATACAACTATATTACCAAAGACTGAAGAGTTTAGGTCAGATATCGCAGCCTAGTTGTAAACCACAACACAACTTGCCAACGGCCCTCTTGAGGGCGAATGAAGATTACCCGTGACATGACCATTGAGCATCACGTCGCCGCTATCGCAGGCTAGCTGTAAACCCCAAAACGGAAAAATGGCGTAGATATCGCAGCCTCGCCGTAAACTACAACACAACGTGCCAGCTGCCCAGTTAAGAGCTAAAAAAAAATTATATCACCTAGCGGGGAATCGAACGCAGGTCACCTGCATGATAGATAGAATATTTACAACTACGCTACCAAAGACTCTCCGTGGATAGTAGAAATTAAATTATATAGTAATGCCAAGTTCATAAAGAGCTCAGCAGTCAAAAATGGCCAATCAACTAAAAACAAATCCGGGCCGGCAGCGAAACAAATAATTATTTGACAGTCATTCGTGGTTTGTTGTGTGAAAATTTGAAAGCAATCGGTTCAGTAGTTTCTGAGTCTATAGTTAACAAACTCGGAAAATTAACATTTTTATTAATATAGATTAGACATTAATGTTGACCCAGTATTCCCAGCCCCTTATTGGTCTGTAGGTTACATGGTAACTGTGTGGGGTGCCCTAAAATAACTGGGTTTTTATTTAATGGTTGAAAAGGGTTTCTGAGATTTGCTGCTGCCTAATTATTCTTGAAGTGTTCTTCATACAGACAGCATTTTTGGAGAGGAACAACAACCACCATGCAGCAAAGGAAGACAGTTTGTAAGGATTTGTATAAAATATATACTAGTTAATAAATTGATATTCAACAAATGAAGACAATATTAGAGGTAGATGTAATTAGAAAGAAATATATAGAAGTTATATTAATCAATAAGTTCACATAATACAAAGAGAGAGACAGATTAGAATAAAACATATAAAAGTAACATTAACATTTTCCCCTGCAATTTCTTGCTGCTTAATTTTTCTTTGGTTTACATTTCAGCCTCAAAGTCAGCCAATAAAATTTACATCTAACACACCTAAACGTCCAAGGTCTTTGGATGACAGGTCAAATTCTGGAATCCCTGTTTTTGTCCAGGAGCGATATGAGCAGAAACAACAGAGGAAAGTATGTGCTGTGTTTGCTTTCTATATTTGATGCTATGCTGTATTATATTACCTGATTCCCCATGTGGGTTCCAGGGCCCCATTGTAGGCAGAACAAGAATAGACCCACTGCCTTCCCAACATGCATGTCGTAAGAGTTGACTTACTAACTAGGGACTTACTTTTTACTTTATCACAATCAACATCACTTCACACTGGGCATTTCTGTCTGTGCTCACCCCTCTGATGTATATATAAAACTTGAGCTGCAAACTTTAACCAAATCATCCAGAGGCGGCTTTAAAAATGGTCAGCAGGCTGACTGGCTATTGTCATACTGTGAAGGTGTCAAATGTCTTTAATCATACTGATACATATTTTTCATGGCTGTCCTCTAGTTCTTGTAGCTGATCTTCTGAGATGTAGTGCCTGTGATGGTATTTAATGTTGTTGCATTTTAACCACTAGATCTGCTATTTCTTGATGAATCTAGTACAAAGTATAATTTCCACAATTTGTCCGATAGTATCATTATTGACTCGATCTCTGATGCTCAGGTTGGTGGCTTTCTCAGGCATCTCATCTAGCAAGTAGTGATTTTGCGTATGTAGGCTTTAGATAATGTTCATATTTGGTACTTGTAGCTCAATGTTTGTATGAATATCCTTTTTTTTAATACACTCATTGTTATGTTTGGATGTCTTAATAATTGTGACAGTTGATATTTAAGTGCACTTGCTTTCTACCATCTGCCATCTTCTGTAATCACACCTCCTAGCTATTTAAATTCCCTAACTTGCTTCAGGCCAGAACCATTCGGCAGTATATTTAGTGGGCTAGGGGTCTTACTGACTTGCATCTGCAATTGAATAAATGTGTATATCTGTACTTGAATAAAAGTATATTTTTGTACTTGAATTATTTTAGATTTTTGGACATGAAAAATTAAGACATACCCAGGAAATAAGCCCCAAGGCAACTTCACAGCAAAAATAATGTAAGACAGGGTCTTATTTTCAGGGAAACATGGTGTCTGTAACAAGAATTCACATCAACCATATGTTTCTGAAGAAGTAGCTGAACCCAAATAATAATATATTTTGTTTTCTTTATGCTAGAACTACCTGGAAGCTCTCACTGCTGCATATGTCAGTAACAATATTCCCTTTGTTATAGACCCAGGTAATATTGTCTGTTTTTTATATTTCTGAAACTAACATTAATGTAATGTTTCACAGTATTAATTCTGGTGTGGGACTGTTAGCATTAGCACTTATGATGGCTGCTTTATGCATTTACTTTGCGTGTGTGAGCTTCAAGATTTTGCTGGGACTGACACGCTTTTTACTTGTTTTTAACTGGAACAAAGAAGGACATTGTTTATGATTTCTGCTGTCATAGGAATTAAGTAGTTATGGGATAACCCTTCTGCTGTGAATTTGGAACCTCGACTAACGGCTTCACATTAATAACTAATTATCTAAACTGTTTCTGTCCTAACCAATGTATCATATGTGAACAGTTGTTGTATGTGTGTATCAAACAGCATATGGTGTGTTAGTGTATCTTTTATGTTTGGCCTGAGCATATTAAACAAATCTGGCATGAATTGTTTAACTTGCAGAACAGTGTATAACATACATGGTGGCTATTGATCCTTGGGATCATCCCTGAGCCAAATGTTATGCTTTGTATGACACTCTCATCAGGCTGTTAGCCATTCTGCAGGTGAGAGATGTGAGACTCAACAATATGAGAGGAAACCCAACATAATAAAGTCAGTCCTCTTTGAACTGTAAACTTTATTGTGACCATGATACCCTCAACAGATGCATAAAAAATTGTATGGGGTTGAGAAAGCTAAGCATGTTTTCCTAGGAGCTTTTTTGTTTTAAAAAAATGTTTGCAGCAATTTATTATAAGCATTTTTCTTCATCAAAATAGTATAACAGAATCACTAGTATTGAGCATAAACAGCAAACCAAACTGAGACTAAAATTTTAGTTGTTGCTGTTGCTGCTGGTGTTATTGTTTTTGTTCTCCTCCTCGTTCTTCTTCTTAATTTTATTTTTCTTCTTCTTCTTTTTCTTCTTCTTCTTCTTCTTCTTCTTCTTCTTCTTCTTCTTCTTCTTCTTCTTCTTCTTCTTCTTCTTCTTCTTCTTCTTCTTCTTCTTCTTCTTTTGTATTTGTGCTCAAAAGAGCAGTTGGCACTTGGTTTTATGGTTTAGAACTAGGCTGTGATAGCTGTGCCTTTTGGTCCAGCATTTTTTGTTACGCGGGCGGTGGGTCTAACTTTATTACATCAAGCGGCAACTGGTATATAAACATATCGGTCTAGCACAATATGTCAGATGCATTTGTTTTAGTACTACGGTGAATTGGTAACTAGTAAATACAGACGCTCCGGTCCAATATAGCCTAAAGGTAAGGCAGTCCATTTAGCTTTGAAGTTTATTTTGCTCCTGGCAGTTGTTTTTTAATGCAATTTCCACATATAGATTCAAGTCTACGGTTTCATGGTGCAACACTGTGAGCTGCATATAGGATGTCTTTTGTTTGTGCCAACAGCGGTTGTGTCATGATATCCAGGAAATAGTGTGTGGTGGTTTACTTTTGGGCTGGCAAAATACCTAATGCAATAATTTTACCTATGAATGTCAAGCTTATTGTAGCTGAGTAAAGCCATCAATGACAAACTGCACTTCTGGTGGGGACTGTTGGTGTTACCATCTCTGGCTGTTGTCTTATGCATTTACTGCATGTGCATATTTCAAAACTTTGCCATGACTATTTGTCCTTACACCGGTTTTCAAACAGAACAGTGAGGTAGTTTTTGTGTGATTTTCACTGGCACAGGAATGGAGCAATTATGGGGCAATCCATTAGCAATGAAGTTAAAATCCAGACTCTAGCTACTGCTGCCAAATATTGTATTTTTTTCTGCACTGAGATGTGCTTAATTTTTTTGTAATTTATTTTCTAATCTGTCCAGCATTTGTTAGACTGGATCAAGTTTATCCCAGAGGTATTCTGTTCTGTGTTTTCTCAGTAGTCGAATTAATAGTAATTGCTTTATTAACTGTTTTAAAAAAAAGTATTGTTAACCCTAACATCCAAAAAGAGAACATATGCTTAGAGACTATTTTTATTACAAATTAAAAGCTATATATTTCATTTTTCATTCTATGTATAATCACAAAATACTATGTTATCCATGTAGCATGTGTTTTTGGTACCACTTTTTTGTCTGTCTAGATTTTAGTGTTCCACTGTGCTGTAGGGAGGTATGGGAGTTGGTTCCACAATAATCTCCTATATTTTAGACTCGTCTGATGTCCGGGGGGTTACAGCTATGTTGTTTTCTTTCTGGCTTGTCTTGCATTTATATTTTTCATCTGAGAAAGAGAATGCCTGTGAGATAGGTTGCAGCACTCTCTAGGAGGGTTGTGGGTTAGACCCAGTTTTTAAATGTTTTTGTTGTGTTAAAAGCACTAGCGTGCTTAAATATACAACATGCTATATCAAGGGCATTGCCAAACACACACCCCACCCCCCAGCAGTGTGCAAAGGTCAGGTACTGGAGGTCGACAGGCAGAAGTGAGCTAGTGTGTAATGTGGGGAGATTATCGTAGAACTGACCAGTATAGGAATTAGAGCCCTTGATGATCGCACTTTCCTCCTT